AACAGAACCTGAGGAACTTTACCCAAACCGTATGAATGATGAAGACCCTCGACACAACTTTTTGAAAAATCATAACCCAAAAGAATGTCGAGGGTCTAAACAAAAGTCTAGCAAAGGAGGGAAAAAACGGTTTCTTGCACACCAGAAAGTGGACAAATCTCTTGATCTTTTGGCTTTTTCTCAGGAGACGGATTCCCGCAGTGGTCCATTTGGGAGTGTTTACCTGTGTCTGTGGTCATCTCTTGAAGCCAGAGGCAACAGCGACAGTAAGCAGAGGACAGTCATTAAAGCAGTGTTGTAACTGAGACCAATGGGCTTCAGACAGATAAGACCCAGCTGTTGCTGCTGCTTCAGGCTTTCAGTGTGCTCATAGTCACCAATGCAGCCAAAAAATGCCATCACTTGCCTTCATCACATTGTCTCTAACTCATCTCTTCTGTTCACTTCCATTAAACCTCCAAGGTCCCCCAAGACAAATACACCTTCAAACACCTCTGCTTGATTTTGTTTACGTAATTAACACCCATAGCCTGTTGAAAGTGTGTATTCTAAACTTTCAATCAGCGTCACATTTGTGTTTGTATGTAGGTGTGCATGATTTTTGCAAACAAGCCATAGCTAATAGACCATTTTGGCCAGTCTGTGTTTTTTTGATGTAAATAATATGAGGTGTGTAACTACACCCACACTGTATTTAAACCCTGCTGATACACCCACAGTGACCAAGCCCCCTAAAGTCCTTATTGGACCCCTCTTATAGTAACATAACATATACTGATACAACTGTACATCCCTGACTCACAGAAAAGTCAAAAATAGATGTCTATATATATATTCATGTCACATCCTTGAATTCCTGAACTATTTATCTCCCTCTTATTCATAATGTATCTCATCCATGGGAACTGCTTTCAAATAGATGCTACACAACACCATATATTTATTATTTATAACTCTGAAATCTTAAATACTTAATGTTAGATGCTAGTGGGTGAAGTGGTAAACAAGCAAATTACATTGTGTATTTTATTAATTGAAAATAACTATTGTATGTGGGGCCCATTAATTCTTCTTTGTGACATCCTCATTATGCTATTGCCTGTAAAAAGACGTTAAGCATTACAAGCTTTTAATCAGTGAACTGTCTCCTCCTCCTTTACAATGTTTCTGATCAGACTAAGCCTGAACCGGTGCACCCCTATTGATCAGTAGAAGAGGAGCAATTTTATGATGTTTCAAATCTGAGACAAGGTATTGTTGTTGAAACAATCTTGTTTTGTTTGTCATCAACCTCGAAACAAGCTTCAAAAAATGTTTAGAAAAGTTCAAACTCAAAGCTGTTGATTCAGAATCTAATGCAAATGTAATTTGTTATGTAACAATTTAATTTTGTGACATGTAATTACATTATTACATAACTATAATAAATACGTAATTACATACAAATAAATATAAAACACAAATGTATATATAAATGTGTAGAAGTCTAAATGACTGTATTTGCTGTAGACCTCTAAGGGTCAATTCTCTCCCTCATACTGCTGTAGATTTTTATGTCTTTTTGTTCTAAGCCCTGCATTCTGTCTCTCTTTTTCTGTCTTGGTCTCTCGCACACTCCCTATCCACAGCCCCACTGGCTCCAGTCTGGACCCCGGCAGGCTGCAGCTCCTCCCCTGGCCATCTGTGAGCGAGACCCTGTCTGTCTGATGTGTTCTGAGATAGAGCCAAGAGCATGACGAGCTCCACTCCTGTGCTCTTTTTTTTTTTACCATCAGGCTGTCCAAAACACTTGTGACAAAGAACGTTCCACTGTCACTCCAATATACCAAAGTGGACCATACAAATAAAAAAAAAAAAGTTTCTCCTCTTACCAGCTAATGCCATTGATCACAAACGTCAGAGAACATAAAACAGCCGGGTTCATAGTCTTAAACGATCACTCACCTCCTCTAACTTCATGAAACAATGAGAACGTGCTGATACGTGACCAGCCCTCCACCCAGCCGTCTGTAGACAATAGAAAAATAGCAGCTGATATGTATAGATCTGCTGGGTGACATGTCTGTCAGCATTTACAGTACACAGATTTTTTTTTAATCCATCTGCGGCCTGAAACAAAGCCTGAGACAGGAATTCCCTATCATTTGCACTCTTGCTTAGTTCGGGGAGCTTCTTGTCTAATAATACTTTAAAGTCTACCCCAGATGAAAAAACACAACCAGCAGATTTATAGATTCATTCAAGTTCAGAAATGTTTTCATTGGAAACTGTTGAAATGATATTTTTGATTTCTTAACACAGTGGATTATACACAGACCACAATATCGGTTATCCTGAAATTTCAAGTGTGAACGTTAACGTCCTCTTTAAGTGAAAGTTTTAACAAAAATCTCTTTTTGGCATGCCAATAAACACATCTTGAAAGATGGTAACATTACTGATGAATTCAACATGGTGTTTTATGCTGGATTCAGACAGGCACATTCTCCAAACTCCCAAGGCTGTAGAATTATGTTAGAACACCACCATAACACTGAAGATGAAGCCTGCGCTATAGAGCATGTGTGCGTCTAGCTGTCTCAGTACTATATGACTGTATACACTCGTTTATCAAAAACCCAGAGGCGTGATTCATGTCTGGAGGCGTCAAACTATTCTTCAGAGTCTGCTCAGATGAAACATGTCTCCTCCAGAGACGCAGGGACCAATTAAAGGGAGGGATTAGGACGGGACTCAGTGACCCTCTGAGGAATTTCGCAAGGATGCTCTGTGTTCGCTTGTCAGACTCGGCCGCTGCAACAACCTCTCTTTAAGCACTTTCACCTGCTAATTAAGCCTTCCAAGCTCCAGTCAAGGGGAACTGTGTGCGGCCAGGCGCTCTTTTCCCCCGAAAAATGGCCCGCTCGCAACTCAAGATGTCCTAATGTAAATATTTGACTGAGCTTGTATATTGGACCGTGGACTGCTACGCGTGGCGAGGGGAGTGGACAGATTGTTTGGTGCCATTAGCGAGTTTAAGCCCTTGGACTCATTTAGAATCTGCCTAAAGTGCTTTAAAACGGCCGGCCAAGCGTCAACCCGTCCTCTGAAAAGGCAGGCAGAGAGTGGTGGGGGTGCCACAGGAAAGCAGGGAGGGTCCAGGGACAGTCACACCTATGCTAGCGATTCTCAACCATGGTCCTGGAGTACGTTTGCATTGCGATTTTGCACTCTGTCTCAATATGTGCACTAGATATTTATAGTACATACTATATGCTTCACTAACTAGTGTCTGAAGTTTTGTAGGTTAGTATTGTCTTAAATCAAAAGGCTGCTATCTCCTTGGTCAAGGCTCTTAACCCCTACTGCCCCAGGTGGCGCTGCTGTGCTTGACAATGCTGTGCAGCTCCCACACTGGGCATTGTTAGACACCATTTCTTTTGAATCAATAACATAGCATAAACAGAAATTAGAGAAATTACAACACAGTACCTCACATTATCAAACTGCACCTAGGTTAGCAGTTAGCTAAAGTTAGCTACAACGTGCTTGGTTATACCATTCTGAAATCCTCAGCTGTCATAAGTAGCCCAACTCAACTAATGTTTAACAGAAATGCAGTTATTGTAGGATCAAGACATCAAAAATCACAGTTTCCAAATGCAGCAATGTCAGATGACTCTATATGATTATACATGGTAGCCCAAGGCCACTGATTGTAAATGGTGTGCAAAAATGGAAACATGAAGATTCAATTTATAATATATTGCAGTCGTTCTTACCAAGAGACACAGTACAATCATGATCAGATAAAAACATATGTAGTGTCAAGGATTTTTCCAAAGGCAGCAAAAAGCACTAATGTTATTATCTCTATTTGGATTTAAACCCCAGTCACCAGCATACCAAAGCCATGACACTACTGACCACACTATTTAATTGCTATGTAGTTGTTAGTTATAATTCTGTTTCAGAGCTTCACAGAGCTGCAGATAAATTCACAAAACACGAAAACATGGAGTAGCAAGTTCTTAACGCATTGACAACATTATGTTTGGCTGTTATACAAAATAAAGACATGATGCTTTCTTAAAGAGATTATCAGTGTCCTGTTGGTGGGATTTCCAGTGCAGTGGTGATCTGTGACAGGTCAGAGTTACAGAGGAAAACCACAGGAGGAGGTATTGCACCAGAGGTGGTGCCCACGAGCAATGAATCTCCTAGAACCCAAGTCAACCCACAAGCTCTATCCCCGCCGAAAGGCTGTGCCTCATCTAACAGAAAAGGATCTTGAAGGATGGTAGTCCAATAAAATAATAAACAGTAATAAAACAACAATAAAAGCACAATAAAATAGTTATTATACAGACCAATCAGGAAGGAGGAGTGAGCTCCAATCAGGAGCTCGCTCCTCCATCCCCCATCCCAGGGTCTGTCTTCTACAATTTTCAGTGACTATTTTTCTAGCACATCATCTAGGTATTAATATTATACTGTCACATTTTTGCACTAAAAGTGATGAACAGACTTTGGAAAAACTTGATTTGAGAGTGTTGGAACACACTTGATCCTAGTAATCAGGTAATGAACAAACCCTTATGGAAGTGAGCAGGAAAATAACTAAAATGTGCAGGACAGGTATACTTCAGAAACATGACTTGGAGTACCATTGACCTATGCACATCCTTGAGCTGAGGTTATCAGCTATATTCTCAGCTTTACCTGTTATTGTCAAATGGAGTAGCCTATGAAGTGTAAACTCTTAGAGAAGGGGCAAGCAGCATCAGATACATCAGTGGGACCTATGTGAAGATGCCTCCCTTTGTCACATTATATGAGCGCACATTCCAATCCGTTGTTTGCTGTTGCATAAACGGCAGCAGTGCTGGGTATTTTTTTTTGTATATGTGGTCACTGCATCTTTGCTTATTTCAAGGAATTTCGGTACTGGCGACGTTTCTCTCTGACTCAACAATTGGAGGTGTTGTTGTGTATAATAGGCTTGTTTGGAGTAAACAGGCAGGCCCGCAGGGATGCTTGGAGTGGTGCTATGACCGCAAGGCTGCAGCCTTGTAGAAGGAGTCAGAGCTAACCCCACATCCCTCCCCCCAGCCCACTCCCAACAATTGTTGTGATGGACTGTGGGAGCTGGAGGAAAGGCTGTCATTTCTGAGTGGAGATTCCTGCTCTTAAGATAAGATAGCACACACGCGCACAAGCCGACTTATTGGAAACACTACACTGCAGGTTACAGTTTCCTCTGCCCTGCTGATGCCAGGAGGAACATATGTGGAGTTAAGTATGAAAAATGGCCACACATGAAATGAAGATTTATCTAGCTCAGGAAGATGGCATGCGCCTCTCGCCAACCAGCATGCATTAAGACCAGATGTGGATTTGAGGAGGCAGAATATGTTCCATGGTATTTGTCGGGGAAATAGAGAGTCTTAATTCTCGGGTTTGACTCTTGCACCCCGTGGCTGATCCCTTGTGTGTGTGCAGTGGGCTCGCGTGCAGGCGGACAGCAGGAGCAGCCCCTCTCCCATGCTGAGGGAAAGTTCACTAGTGAGCTAGAGGGAGGGCTCAGCGCCGGCTCCTCCACTTTAAGTCCCGCCCTGCAGCACAGCCCTATCAGTTTCTCTCTCATGGAGTGGAGCCCCCACTGCTACATGGGACCAAAGCTTCTCTTAGGAGTCGAGCAAGGAGGTTTGACGTGCCCCGTCCCAGGGAGACGCATCTTGCTCCCAGCGTTTAGATGCATAAGGGGATAAGTTCGCCGACACTTTCGCGGTTACTCTCTCGGGCCTACACTGTCCATGACATTCCCACTGCCAGGCTGGACTGAAGCGAGTGGGCTTTAAAAGTGACCACTCTGTTAATGCGCTGACACTGGAACCTTACCCTAGACAAGAATGACTCTGCTGGGCTCCGAACACTCTGTACTGATTCGCAGCAAGTTTAGATCAGGTAAGCGGCTTGAGAAAGCTATTGTATGTTTAAAACCACCTTTGGCAGTGTTCTAATATATAAACATAGACTGGTGTGTTTTTTTATATTTTACAGTACAAGTCAAATACACATGGCAATCTTATGTGGATATTAAAAAATGAAGAATAATTGAACACGAAAGGACAAAGAAAACTGAAGCTTTGTGAAATTAAGCTGTGTTTTATTGACCATGTACGTGATGTTTGTGGAATTGCTCCCATCTGTTGCTCCAAGCTCCAAGCGTTTGGCACCTGTTCTCCTTTGTGTACATGGGTGCTTAGTCAAGCGTCTGCTACTAATAGCCTGAACTGATTTGAGACTGAGGTCAGAGGTTATCGGACGACAAAATGCAGCAGTTCTGTGTGACCTTTACCAGTCTCAAGGGGCAGGAGTGCTGTCTACAGTCCTTCGTTTACCCATGCAGACTGTCTTATCTTCTGCCCTGCTCTGTCTTCTCTCCCGATTCCCCATCCTTCTCTTTTCCTCTCTCCAACTGTGAAGGCTGTTTTCTGTTCTTGTAAAGATATACATACACAGTCCTTCTTCAGATGAATAGGGAAGCACTGTATGGATATTAATGCATTGTGAACAATACTGCCACCTCTCTGACATAAACGTTACTGCCAGTGCCAGAGATGCCTGCATCACGAGAAAAATGGAAGCATCAGTGGCTGGCTTTGTTTTATGAAGACAAACTGTTGACAGCTCACAAATTAGCTTAATGTGCCTTGAAAGCAGAAGAACAATTTCGGTCTGCTTTCAAAGAATTTATTTGCTTTTACAGTCATAGTCCTTTTTTCCTTTTTTTCTCGGTAGACTAATCGCTTACCAGAAATTACAGGCAAAATTGAGCTTTTCCCTCCTGTTGTTTAGAGGAGCAGTGCAAGGGGAAATGACCTCCGTACCCAGAGGAAGGGAAGATGTAACGCCTCTGGTCCGCAGAGTGGTAGAGTCAGGAGTGCTTAAAAGGCTGCTTGTTTTGACCAGCACACATTAGCTCGCTAATACTCCACAGATGTGGGACTGTTTACACATAGATGTACACATTTTGGTTCTGTATGGCCGCTGGCTGAAGCTATTTGCCCGTGTATGTGTGTGTACGCGATAGAGCGAGGCCAGATAAGAATCTGCCAGTGTGTCCCTTGTGAACGTGCTTGACTCATTGAGGAACTTCATTAGAGGCTGCAGGGGATGGGTGGCTCACTCCCACTACTGCACACAGATTACATAACTATGCTGCCGTGCTAGCAAACATTCAGACAATTAAAGGTGTGTGCTGTATCGTTGGTGTACCATGTGGTCAAAGCTATGTCATTTTTGCAGCCACCGAGGCGGCTGAATAATTCATACCATTTTCTCGGGGGATTAGGGAATTCACAACACAACTTCAGGCCTGCGGTGTGTTTTGCTTTAGTTTGTGTTTTTTCTGTAATGATAATATACACTCTAAAAAATAAAGGTGCCAAATACTGTTCTTTGGATGCCATGGAGGAAGCACTTTCCCTAAAGAACCTTTCAATCAATGGATCCTTAGAGAAGCATTAGATTGAAGTGTAAGTTCAAGTCAGGAACCACGTAGAAAATTTTACTTATAAGCGCTTACAAGCATTTTTTATCAAGCTGTGTTTGGGGTTTGATCTTCTTTCTAAATACTGCTCTACAGAGACATAAGTTTGAGTTATATACTGGTTCCTATTTCAACGTACTCCAGCAGCCATGGGATTTGGTAGCCAACTGGTCAGTTGGGCCAAAGCTTCCCAAGTTCTTGTGGACCCCTGGCCAGTCTACATTCTGGTTCAGTTCCAGGGTCAAGCTGAGCTGGGCCAGGTAATCAAGGGCTGATTACTTGGATCAGGTGTGTTAGGAGCTGGAACTCTACAAAAATTGTATACCGGTTAAGTGTCCCTAAGGACTGGACCAAGAACTTCTGTTTTAGGCTGTATTTGCTCACTGTGTGTTCGACTGTGGGTAGGGGGTGCGCTAGTCTCAAATTACTGACAGCTCAATAAGACGATGAGCCCTCTGGTGGGTCTGGGTGGGTTTATTCTGTCCTACCTCCATGATCCGTTCCCCCCAACTGGCAACAGAACCATGAATGATGAAGACCACATGAATAAACATGACTGCTGAAATGAAACAAGCTACTGCATTACATTATAGTATAAAACTGATAGCTTAGGTTCTAAAATCTGATTTGCTGAGCCATTGTGAAACTTGTCCCCTGTGATTAAAAACCATTATGCTCAACCATTATGTTGCTTGGCAATTATAGCCTACAAAAAAGGTACCACAAAAGGTTCTTCAAGTGATGCCATAAAAGAGAACCGAGAACCTCTGTTTTTGGCAGTATTTTTGGTTCCCTAAAGAGTTGGCTCCCTCAAGAACCATGTTGAAAAAGAGATTTGTGGGTGTAAAGAACCTTTAAGAATTAGAAAATGTAATATAAATGTAAATAATGTAAAGGTTCTATCCCTATTTAAGGAGTTCTTTCTAAAACCTTTAGATCATTTTTAAAGGGATTTTTTACACTCACATATTTAATTTGCAAAAAAGGTTCTCTAAGGAACCATCCACTGAAAGGTGTTTTAGGAAACTGAGTGGTTCTTCTATGGCATTTCGTGAAGAACTCTTTTTGGTACCTTTATTTAAAAAATATACTGTTAACAAACTACATTTCTTGGTGGATGAATCAATTATTGCAATTATTACTATTAATAAATTATGGTATATTTTATCATATTCTATCACTGTTTCATGTCATGCCTCAGAATGATGATGAAATCACTTTAACGTATGACATACTGCTTTATTATATGCAGTGTTTCTTTATTACATTATTTAATGTTCGGCATCTCATAAGTAATGCATTAAGTCATTATGTTATATACAGTATCTCTTCTCAGGTCTAGTCTTGATAACCCAGTGAAAAGTGCACATAGACACACTCTCAATAACAGAGTCTTCAGAAGTGACCCTCATTAGACGCAAAGCTGAACAGCTGCGTCTGCCTGCAGTCAACTCTGCAGTTGCTGGTGTCGTGAACTGTACATTCTGGCTGGGATGAATCACTCACTACAGAAGCAGACCCTTCATATGGACACAGATATCACAGAGCCAGCTGCATCATGTCAGCTGATTACTGCCTTATTGCTATTTGCAAAAAATCTGCATTGCACATCAAAGTCTGGCTGTGGTTTGTTTGTTCTTGCGCTCGTGTTCTCTGATAAAAGACTGTGATGTTCCGCTGCTGGAAATATGAATTTCATATTCGTGTGTAACAAAGTAACAGATCTTCAGCAGTTCCAAGGAAACATAAAATGCAAAACTGCCCTCAAGGGCTAAGTTGTTTTTGCAGGTATATGCCCCAAAGACAACTGGTGCAGCTATTTTAGGCCATTAAGTCAGCTCATCTGGTTCTAATTGCTGGGAGGGTTACTTGATCCAGAGTGTCTGTGAAGCTGTGATCGTTCTTATTGAGAGCAATTATTAAAGGCAATCATGGAGTTTGGCATTCTTTGTCGCCCCCCCACCAAGCATGGGTAAAGTGTGCTGATTCTGCCAGGACGCCAGCACGGATCCACGCTTCAAGCATTTTTCCACGTTCAGCTTTTATCATTTCACCTGTTGCTGGGCTTGGAATATTCTTCTGCTTTATGTGTGCCTCTTAAAATGAGAAGTTTGGGGAAAAAACTGAAAAGCTGATTGATTAGAAGAAGTAGAACGTGTCACTGTTTGTAGTGCAAATGTTTGACCTTGACTGGATCAAATCGAACAACTTCACTTTCTTCTTTTCTTCACTCATCTAAAATAAGCTCGCAAATTGTCCAAAACCACTTCCAGGTAAATGCAAGGATGGGTTGTGACAGCTGCCAGGGCTGTTTGTGTGAGAGTGTATCCCACCAGGTGCCAAAAATGTGCTGTGCTGCCCACCTATTTACCCATTAACAGTCCATGGCTCCAAGCTTGGCACTAGGCACTCAGGTTCAGGTTGCTTGCCTAAAGTGTTTTCTGAAGAGAAGCAGATGTACTGCATGAAGACGGCCTTTGTGTATCAGAACTGTGAGTGCAGACACCTTTCACTGCTTGCGTGTCCTCGGCAGTCAGCAAGCCTCAACTTCACAATGCTGGAAAGTGCAGAACTGGTCCGTGTGCATCAGCTACACTCCACAGTAAGGGGGCGTTCAGACAGCGGCTTTTTAAACACAAAGCACTTCACGTCTTGTGCCTAAAAAGATGCAGGGTGTGCTTTCTAAGGTTCTGAGTTAATGCATTTCACTGATAAGCAAATGCTCAATTCGAGAACACAAAAGACAGAGACGAGCAAAACACATTTCAAAACTGACATAAACAAACACACTGAAAACTTTTTTTACTTCATTTTGTGTTTTAATTTCTTTTATCAATTGTTGTACAGCTCTGTGTGTTTGAAAACAGACAAATCTAGATTTTCCACTGTTGTAAAAGCTCAATATTGGTGGTATAACTGTGATGATGTACAGGGCTTTTTCATGGTGCCCATCAGAAAAGTTAATAGGTTTTTAAACATGCAGTTTAAAAATGTGAAGTGCGCTGCACAGGCCAGAGAAGAGCTTTTCAGTCGCTGTGCGAGCCTGTCCATAGATGACAATGAAAGATGCACGCCTGGGAAAGTCAGAAAAGGCATCATTTTAATGCCCACTAATAAGTACATTCTACAGCAATATACTACCTAACGGTTAATCTCACTGTCATGAAGTGACTGGTGGTTCAGTAGAGGCACACACTGTAATAATCACTGGACATTATTCTGCTGTTCTGATGAGAGACACGCCACCCAAAACAAAGAAAGCAACAGGCCTGCAAATATTTCTTAAAACAGGATGTACGTCTATGATAAACACGGCTCCTGGCTTTTAAACAAATCTCCCTGCAGTGTGTGGTCTTCGTGGGCGTGGGGGGTAGTGGAGGGGGGTCATAAATGCAAGAGCCGGTCAGTCAGTCGGCACTGGTTTGTGTACGTGGAAGACGCTGTGCTATCTCTGATAGGGGAATGGTGTGTTCCCTAGCTAGACACAGATTTACGGTTATTCACTAGTTTCACTTATGATGGGTCAATGTCTCTCTCTCGCTCACTCTCTCTCTCTCCTTCACTTCTCTTCGTCCACTCGCAGTCCTGCAGTTGAGGCTCCAGCAGAGGAGGACACGAGAGCAGTTAGCAGACCAGGGCATCATGCCTCGTGAGTAACACCTCTCTTTCTTTAGCATTTCATACACGTCACCATGCCCCTTCCTACACCCCCTGCATTCCGCTGAGTGCCACTTCATAGATGTGTCACTAGTGGAGAACTGAAAAAAAGAAAAAGTGCGCCTGCCTGGAAGCATAAGTCCTAGCGGGTCCAGGATTGCAGGCCACAACAGTCACCCCACGATAGAACAGTGAAAGCCCTGTAAAGGCTAGAGGTTGCATAGACTAGCTGACCAATTGACTAATATATCCAAATGTTTCTGAACATTTGGGATCCTGCTTGGATGCCCATAAACAACGACCACCCCATTCATATTATTTTGTATGTAGGAATTAAAAACAAAAAATATTGATCTGGAAATAAGTTTAGATGTTAGGGTAAACACAATATGATAGTATATAATGGTTAGTGGTGTCAAAGTTGATATGTCAACATTGATGACATACATTTTTTAAAAGGCATCAACTAGTTTGACACTTCAAACAATAAGTAGTTCTTTGCTGAAGCTTAGCTGCTTGCAGGCTGTTGCTGTTGCATTCAAATACAGTATTTAAATGGAACTTTCCATTGATAGTTCTTTTGATAAAAGACTGAAGTATCGTTTACAAGCAAAACACATTATTGATGCTGGCAATATCAATAATATGTGTAATGTTAGCACGCCTGTTAGGACAGCTTCAGCTGACTACACTAGACAGTGCTCACAGAAGATCAATGGATCAATAAACAACCTGAAAACTAATAAAACTTCCAGCAAAGTGGAAAGCTCCAAATGTAATACAGCAGTATGAGGTTACAACTGTGGATGAGTTGAAATGTGCACCCACTGTTGCTCTCACTAGACAGTGGTGATGAAAGTAGAGCAAATAAGACAAATGTGAATAATCACAATTAATTACACAAACAAATGTGTAAATAATGGACACTTGTGTTGCCCCCCATAGGTTCAGGTGCCCCCTTATAGCTAGAATCAGTTCTGTATACTAGTTGGCACTGTGGGCAGACATGGCCTGATTTTAATAAAGAAGAATGATGGTGGCAGAAGCAGTAGTTAGCATGAGGAGAGTCCAAAAAGCAGTTTCTCTGCTAACATATTTTGTGAGTGTGGAGCTACTTCATAAGAGATGAAATAGGTTTCACAATCCACTGCAAGCTGTATAAGACTACACTCTTAAAGATAAAGGTTTCTTAATGGTTCTTGGTGTAGAACCATTACATTATGTGGAGATGCTTAAACTTTAAAGAGGTTCTTCACTCTCAGAATCAGAGTCAAAGTTAAAGTAAACTTTAGTGTCATTCCTTTTCGCTCCAGACAGTGATGAGTAAGGGATGAAATGTAGTTTGTCCAGAACACGGTGACACATTTAACACAGAACAGCAGCGGACAACAGTGTAAACAGACAATACAATAATACTGGCGATAAACTATACAAACTATACAAACACTATACAATGGACTAAACGACTGTGAGCACAGGACATTACAGACTAAACAACAGTGAACAAAAGGTTGGGCAGAAGAAAAAATGACCCTCAGGATGGGTCATCCTCAGCAGCAATGATTATTTGTATGTCACTGCTTGAATCTTGTCAGAAAAAAAAACTGCATCTCCAAATTAGTAGTTCCTTTTAATACAATATTCAGAGCTATTTTGGGCAATTTCCACTGACATGGTATAAAAAGCAGCTGGCAATTTTAAATTAAGTCAAAACATAATGTTACATAAAAAAATGTCAAAACATGGAGATTCTTTAGAGAACCAAAGGTGTGCTCTGAAGTACAGCAAAAACATGTCCAATTTGCATATTCTGAGTTCATAAAACACTTTTTGTTGATGTTCTGAACACTCTTGTGTTTTATCCTCGCCTTTGTTTGGCTCGTTTATGAGCAACTGGTTGATTGGTAAAAATGAAAAGTCGTGCAATCCCTAGTGTAAGCTGATCCACTCTGTGGTGCTTTAAATCAGTTTCCTCCACGCGTGTTCTATGGTGCTGTCAGCCAGGCAGCGTCAGACAGCACACAGGCTGACCTCAGTGGAATGCTCTTGTACTGAAGAGGTGCTCTGGGTCACGGACAAGCCAACTGCATCATGCTCCGCCAACACCAGCACAGGCTTTAAAGACTAATCATTTGATTATTTGATGATTTCCCTCCAACCTGCCACCTACGCATCCAAGCTACATGAGTCTCTTTTATTTCACAAACTCCATTTGTTTTTTTTCTACACCATTTGAAAAAAACAGCAGCCGTTTATGTTATGTGGACATTTCATGACGAATAGACCAATAGGCATGGTCCACTGGTTCCATATGGAGTAATTGTATTTTTTTTTCTCGTCAAGTATTCAGTATTTTTTTTTAACATGGAAGTATATTTACAGACCCAGGATGATAAGAACTAAACATCTAAAGTAATTAAAGAAAACACAGCCCTTGCCAAATGGACGACCCACCTACTGGAACATACCCCCTTTCTACGATCACACTCAATGTCATGCTTATATGAACTATAAACAAACATGCCAAATACAAGACACAATGCCATTATAAACTCATCTACAATGTATTTTGCTTATGATCTAGTATTCATTGCTGTTGAATGTTATATTGTTCTTAACATTATTATTATTAAGTGCCGTCAAGTCGTTTCCAACTCCTGGTGACCATATGGATGGTGTTTCTCCAGAATATCCCATCTACTGTTTGGGTCTTCAGCCTTCATTGAATGTTATAGCTAGCTATAGTGGTAATAGCTTGTTCTCCAGCAGAAAAGCAGCAGTGCTAAGATAACTAGTGTGAACATAGGAAAAGAATCCAGAGGTCTGCCTGGCCATCAATCTCTGGGAGTCTGCCAAAGATAAAGGGCCCCAAAAACATGATTGGCCAGTCTGCAGCCCTTTAAAAAGAATTTTCAATGGCTGTTTATCTATTGATTACAGACAAGAGGTGGGCCGAGCTAGATACAGACACTCACAAGGTAGGAAATAGCTGCCATTTAGCAGCATTGAACAGGTATACAGCCAAAAATGACATCTTGGCATGTAGGAAGTAAATCTAATATTTCTCATTGGGATTGCTGAAAGATTGTTAAAGATTGCTATATTTAGATATTTTCACTTAAATAAAGTGACCTTATCAAGTGAAATGATACTGAAATGATTTTGTTAAGTGAAATGATCATAATTTAACTTCATCTGTCAGTGTATTAAGAAATTACCCCAACAATTTACTTAAAACAAGCAGAAATTAAATATATTAAATGAAATAAATAATTAAAATCACTTGATAAAATTACTCAAAACTTAAAATAAGCAAAAAATGTCTAAATTAAATAACCTTATAATGACATATAAAAAGTGCATAAACTGCCTGATTTTAAGGTGCTTTCAATTGTCAAAAGGTCCTTTTTTCCAACTCATGTGCTTTGCAGACTGGGGCTACTGGATAGTGGTCAGTAATGCGACATGATTAACTTCATTACAGACAGATGTATAATCTCTGCAACCATTCCAGTCTCCACATCTGGCTGAGGAGCATCTGTGACATTCTTCCAGGATGGTTCCTCGCTGAAAAATCGCCTTCTTACAGTTTCAGTGCTTTTGTTTCTTTTGTCCTCGTGTTTGTTTTATTTATGTAAGCCTGAAGCTGCTCTATGGCGGCATCCGTCTGAATGCAGCACTGATCCAAGTTCCATTGCGGTCTAGCCTCTCTCCGTCAAAGTGCACCTTGTGTTTCAAAGGGCTGCGCAAGGCGAAGAATTACGCAATCTGTTACATTCTTTTATGGATGGAATATTTCAGTCTTTCTTCTGTTGTCTGGGAGGAGGATGGCCAGTGTGTGTGCCCTGTGTATACATTTCCTTGGGAACATCTGGTGCTTATTAGGCACTTGAAAGCAGCAGGCAGGCCTCTCAGGACTGTTTGGCGTGTGGCCGGGGAGGAGCTAGCAGCATGGACACTAGAGCAGGTCTGGCTTCGTTCATGAGCATCATTTCACTCCATCTTCCCTAACTGTCCAGGAACTGCTCACAGTCTTTTACGACTGACGGATACTGTACTACAATGTGCCTTCATATACAGCTAAGCTTGTACTGCCCGACTCAAAGCTCTCTCTTGTTTTCTAAATAGTAAACTAGACTCATAACTGCAGGCTGCACTTAATTACCCTTGTGGCTCGGCATGCATATAAGGGAAACAGAATATGCAAAACATCTGATACAGTTCATCGTGTCCCCACACTCAAGAGTAATTGGCGACTGAATTTGACCAATAACATCATGTTTCATTTGTCTGACATGCAATAAATGCTTTCAGATGCTTCATGAGCAATGATGAGACATTCCAAACCACAACATGAAGACAAATTAACTGTATTTTCTCTCCATGTTTGCTTGTGCTTAACTGTCATTGAAATATCAGTATTATGATATTGTATCACACATTTCTTTCATTTCTACATTTAATTTTATACTTAACTAAACATTTATTCCTTGTGTTGCATTAAGGTCATCAAAAGCATATAATTATATTGTACATTTGAACTTAAACCACCCTTTGTTATTTAATTGGCAGTTAAAATTGCCAACTTGCCAAGTGCAAGTTATTCATTTTTCAGCATCAAGAAAAAAAACAGAAAAAATATATTTAACAAAAAATTACACAGAAGTCTCAACATCTAGCAGCTTCTGCCAGTTGTGTCTATTTTCTTTTCTCAGTAAAGACTTCTTTGCAGCTACACATCCCTACAGACTAATAGCATTGAGTTGTCTTCTCAGACAGAAAGGATGGACAGAAACACCTGTGGATTTTCTCAGATATGAAGCAAGAAAGGAGCTTTATTTTCTCCTCTTTCTCAAAGATGAAGAGACTGTTTATCTAATTGTCTACCATGGTAGACATGGTATGATTATTTTCTCTATATCTGTTAATATTGTAGTTTTGGAAACTCAGTTTTTCACTTATTTTGCTTTGATTTTGACCAACCAATGCAAGTGGATTATCTTATATCTAATCTCCTGAAAAATTAATAACTTGTGCTTAATGGTTGTTTTGATTGGAAATAAAATAAGTGAAGGGTGCTCTGACTTTGTACAGTAATTTGTATAAAATCAGTTTGTGTCAAAATAGTCTACATTCATTTTCTGCACACCAAACAAGCGAGCCATCATTTGCCAAATTGCAGAATTAAAAGACTTCTACATGGCTGACCAGAAGCCAAAGGAGGCAAGTGGTCTGGATGTCGTCTCAGGTCAAGGCATAGAAGAAATCTCATATGTTGTAATCTAATCAGCATCATTAGTGCTACTTAATCAGGCAAAGCTCCAGGAATAGTTTTGAACACTTTCACTGTGTGACACTTATCAGCACAGGTGCTGAAGAGAACGTCCATTAGACACCATGGGTGGGAAACAATACAGTGTACACTGGGTCTACAACTTTAATGCATTTTTCTGTCTCTTTATTTATATCCTTTCTCTAAGAGGACAGCTAGGAATTGATTTTGCTGGAAAAAATCAGAGGATATCACAAGCCTGAGGCTTTCAACAAGACAAATGACTGCAAAAGTAACAATAAACATTTATGATTTACATCTTTAAACAAAAGCTGCATAATGCAAAAAATATATTTCAGCGTAAGGTTTAAGTAATGCTTTCTTTACACAAACACATCATCAAGGCCGACCATTGATTTCAACTGGTAAATGTCAGAGATTTTTTTTACACCAGATTACCCAACTAAGACTTTCAGCCCAAATATGCGACCAATGCAGTGCAGCACCCGCGTTCATTGTAGCAATCAAGCTAACTATTCAATCAGGCTCTAATTCAGCACAGTGCAGGCCAACACAGCACAACTCCAGGGAAGGCCGTGAGGGCCAGCGCAGGTGCTGCCAAAGGTTATTTATGTAGGATTTATTGACAATGAGCTCGCAGACAGCCTTGCTGATAGGAATGCATCCCATTTTTTAGCTCCTTTTCGTTTGTTTTTCCAGCCCTGAAGAGTCCGGCTGCATTCCACGAGCAGAGGAAAAGTCTCGAACGATCCAAGGTCAGAGTCATGTGCAGCGTTATCTTTCTGTAGCTGGCATAAGCAAACATGGGCATGTGGCACGTGCCATGTTTGCCCAGAGGAATTGAAAGGTGGAAACATTGTGTGGAGAGTAACTGACAAATGATCCCTGAAATTTGATTTAGAACAGATTTTTAGAAGTCGAGTTTTATTTAGCCATTCAAATGTAATTTTGTAATTACACATGTAATTACATTGTAAGTTAGACAATGGATTTAATTTATACTCAGTTTATATTGTGTTTGTTGTTCTCTATTTAGTTTGATGTCAAGAAATGGCATGTGTACTTTTCTGTATGCACAACACAACTTTCAAATTTAAATCGTAACTGAATATCTCTTACTCACAAGCACAAGCGTGACATCAAATGAAGGCGCAGAATCCACTCTTTCAACAGAATCTCTCAGCTTGTTTCAATAACCTACGAGTTTGAAATAATCAACACTGAACTATGCCATGCTTTAGTTATAACCAGTAATAACTATGCCTTTCAAGGTGAACCACTAATTCTGTTTTACATTGTTATTGATATAAGGACCCAGCTATGCTTACTGTTTGTTACACTGTTAGTTGTTAGTAACTAACTATCTCATTGTTATTTTTCAGACTGGAGATTATTTAAAGCATAAAATCAGAAGTAGACCAGAGAAGTCGGAGCTGGTCAACATGCGTATTCTACAAGGTATGAAATTCAGTGCTTACCAAACATCAGAAAAGGTCACCAAATGCACTCGGCAAGTACTTCATACAAATGACATCACAGCTTTTCCAAGCGCTCTGCCATGGTGTCTTGTCCTCCTCTGCGGATCTATAGTAAATCTCGGAAACATCAGAGGCGAAGGTTCCCTCGGCTGCTGAACGTGTAGCTGCCGTAAAGAAAACAAACTGCATGTTGTTTTTGGCAGCAGCCTGTACAGCAAGGCAGTTTACACAAGGCGTGTTTTGACACTTCAGTGTAAGCCATGCATGATCCGCCTTGAGTGATGAGCGCTTTGGGCGTGTCCCGACTTGGACCCTCACACAATAACTGTTTACGCTAGAAATGACTCTGTTGCTGCATCATGCATGCGTGCGAGTGGAAGGCCGCGGTGCTGGATTAATGTTGCTTATTATCGTTGTGTTTACTGTGCAGACTCGGCCAGCGACGGCTCCGCTCAAGACCCGCAGACCAAACTGAAGCGCGCCAGGCTCGCTGATGACCTTAACGAAAAGATTGCTCTGAGACCAGGGCCTCTGGAACTGGTCGAAAAGAACATCATTCCTGTTGATTCCACTGTTAAGGAGGCGGCTCTGAAAGGTATCAGTAAAGCACTGGGGTGATTCTGTGTAATTTCATGGATATTATTCACAATCAGCGCTTGCAATTCACCGCCACTGCACTTAAAGCAAAAAAACAAATTTACACAATTTTCCTCTTACCTCAGATATAGCTGATCAGCCAAGGAATGTTTGTTATCCAGAGTTTCCGAGGAAAAACAAAGACAAAATTCAGAGATTATTTTGTCCATTTATAGATAAACGTATGTCATACAATGTCAAACTGCAAAGAAGTCTTTCTAATTCTAATTAATTCCAAGTTCCAATCACTGGCTTGCACAATGCTAACTGGTGGTAATAAGCTTCCATTATTTGTTAGCTACATTAGCCTTGTAGCTCCAGTGCAAAACTAGAGAAGCAAACATCAGACACCAAACATCTTAGCTGCTTGACTGCATTTGGAGTAAGTATACAAGTTTGCAAATTTGATTTCAAACTATCCCTTTAAAACTTATAAAAACTCACTTTCATCAAATCATAAAGTAAATGCAGAGGAAATATTTTCAGGCCCTGAAGATGACACTAACCTTCAAACACTCCTAAGCTAGCAATGTTTAGCAAGATTCCTGACAATCCTCCCAACCTTTGCCTCAACAAACACAGATTGATTCAAGAGGCCCTTGTTCACGGGCATTAACTTGCAATTTGTTTACTATGCCGTGTAACCGCATTGCGTTGTCCCTTCAGATCCACACTAGAGCCAATGTGTTTGGACTTGCTGGAAAGTAAACACTCTGTTTTCCCCCTAGAGTTGTCTGTAAATGTATTGCATAAGCTGACCATAAGGCCGAGGACATCAGTTTACATTACCTCTGCTGGAAAAAGGAGCATGTTTTATTGAGACAAACAGCAGCTGTATTTGGACCCACCCTTTTCTCCAGAGATCAAATGAACGTCGCCCCTTGCTGCTCTGTTTTGACTCCTCGTGATTTATGTGGCTCCGCTGAGCCACCTACAAAGGTGTCTGAGGGGACCGGGCCGCTCCGCAGCTGTCTGCAGCCCTGGGAGACCCCCATCCTCTAACGCTCCCATGACCTGCTCTCTGAGTTTGATTATTAGACCTGTGGGGTTTTAAATAAGCAAAGGGCTCTGAGATTTTACAACTTTCTTTGAAGGCAATAGCAAAGCCTCTGTAATCTGAAAAGCCGTCGGAATCTGTATATATACCTTCAGCACAAGTGTGTTTTGTGTAATTTTTCTGAGTAATCTGTTTATGTTCCAATCATGTTTTTTTTTGGCCCAGTCCCGATCCGAGTCATTTAACTTGTTTCTGCTGTTACCAAATATTAATCTGATATTTGTATTTTTGTAGATAATACAGTGCATTTTAATACACTATATGGCCAAAAGTATGTGACACGTAATCATCACACCTGTATGAGCTTGCTGGACCTCCTATTCCAAAACCATGGCCATGAATATAGAGTTGAACCCCCTTTGCAGCTATAACAGCCTCCACTCTTCTGAGAGGCTTTCCACGAGATTTGGGGTGTGGGAGTTTGTGCCCATTCGGTCAAAAGAGATTTGTGCAGTCAGGCACTGATGTTGGATGAGAAGGCCTTGCTTGCAATCAACGTTTTAGTTCATCCCCAAGGTGTTCAGTGGGGTTGAGGTCAGGGCTCTGTGCAGGCCACTGGAGTTCCTCCACACCAAACTGGCCAAACCATGTCTTTACTGAGCTAATTGTCTAAAATGTCTTTGAATGATGTGGCCTTAACAGTACCCTTCACTGGAACTATGGGGCTGAGCCTAAACCCTGAAAAAAGCCTAAACACTGAAAAATGCTCCAGAGTCCAGTTTACACCGCTCCAGCCGACGCTAGTGATCTTAGGCTTGTGTGCTGCTGCTTTGTCATGGAAACCCATTTCATGAAGCTCTCAATGCACAGTGCTTGTGCTAATGTTACTTCCAGAGGTGGTTTGAAACTAAGTATTGAGTAATGCAGCAGAGGATAGGCAATTTTCATGCACTGACTCAGAGTTTGCATGGTCTACCTCTACATGGCTAAGCTGTTGCTGCTTCTAGATACTTTGATTTCACAATATTGGACTTACAGTTGACCGGGGCAGCTGACTTGCGGTAAAGGTGGCATCCTATGACAGTGCCATGTCAGTGCCAAGTCACTGACCTCACTGAACAACCCGTTCTACTCCCAATGTCTGCATTGAGACTGCATGACTATGTGCTTGATTTTATACAACTGTTAGCAATAACAAACATCTAAACTAAATAATTAGGTGGCGTGTCCACATACTTTTGGACCATTTAATTTAACACTGAAGTTAATAAAAACGATACAATTTAGGCAAGACACGCTAGGCTGCCAATTAGTTTAAATTCTACAGTGAAATCAATTCATTTTCATATGAACATTTGACCATGCTGTTACCACCAAGCATATCAACCCAAAGTCTTCTTAAATTGTATGTGTGGCTAGTTGAATCATGTTTTGACAAAAAGTGTCCAGCTTAACTGCTGTTGAAATACTGCCATTGCAGATATTACAAGCTGGGCTGTTTTCATATTCCATCTTAAAATACTTTGCCTGTTAACTTCTCATTGCATAAACAGGGCAGTGGTGTAAAAGTCTTAAAAAGGAATGAAACTGGACCAGACTTGACATAGTTGATAACAATCCATTAAATTATGCCTTGATCGGCTCCAACACCAGTCTTGCAAACCGGCTAGGTACACTGGCCTAGTTTTTATCTCTGCTTTTTTTCTCCCAAAGGTTTTAACCATTATCAAACCGGTCAATATGAGATGACCTAAGATGATGAATGTAAACAGGTGGGGGTCAGGTGTCCCTAGGGCCTAGTTACAGTGTCCAGGCCAGTCCAACATCAACAGGTGGAGGAAAAAAACACTCTGAACGTTGTTCTATGCTGTTGCTGGACAGCAGCTGAGCTCAGGAGACACAGCATGTGCCGTGCCCAGCACACTGACGGGGGAGTGTGTCTGTCATGATTGAAACCAGGGCCCACACTCTTGGCAGGTCACATGCTCAGATACTGAACAAGTCTCTCTCGCTCTCTCTCTCTCTCACTCACTCTCACACACACATATACACAATTTCTCCTCTAGAAGTGCACATGCACTACACATTGTCCCTCTCGTAACCCCTAGTCTGACCTCTGCTGATAGAACAGTATTATCATGGCTCCTGTAGGGTGAAGTGGTGCTGTCAGTCTCCCCCCACTACATAACAGCACCACTGGGCCAAGAGCCTGGGCTGGGTGCTAGTGAAAAACAGCGCTGTCCACCAACAGCCAGGATCAAAACTCACTGGCAGCACATTGGTATCAGGGCTGCAACTAACCATTATTTCTACAATCAGCAAACCTATCAACTACTTTTTCAATAACTAGCACAGGACATACCACAAATACGGTGCTAAAAAATACTTGGCATGTACTTTGCATATTATTGCTGACATATTAAAATATTGTACCTTAAATTAAATAATAATAAAAAAAAAAACACCATTTAAAAATGTCAGCAGCCCTTTGCATTATTTGAATGTTTCATGATGAATGGACCAACAGAAATTGCTCAGAATAAAATCTCACATTTATGTACATTAACATTAAGAATACTTTTTTCCGTCCATTTCTATTTGATCCATTTTTAGATGCTCGGTTACAATAGTGACCATATGCTGCATTGTACACCACTGTCATTTGTGTTTTAGAAAAAACCCACTTCTAAGACATTCTGAGTCTTGTCCTCCTTGATTCATCTTTCTTTGCAGTCATATTTCAAAGTTCTCTTCTACAAACAATCAAAAATCGGCTAATTTAGTATTTTGATTTTGGTCGATTTGTGCAATTTTATGACATAAATAACATTAGGCAGGTAAGTGCACTCGCGCTGTATTTGAATGCAGCACCAACATTGAAATGGCCCTAATGTCTCCTGTGGTGTACAGCAATCTCAGGGACTGACCACGTGTCTTATTCTAGATATGAACATAATTGACCATTATATAGTTTCTTTTTTACTTTTACAAAAAACATATAAACAATACAAATCCACATTAACATTTTTTTCATAACTGTCATTAACATTAACTACCAACTAATCACTGGTGAAGCACACGTATTCCAACACATGCACAGTGGAGTCACATTCCCCCTCCGTGCTTGCACGCTTACACACACACACACAAGGCTCGCTCAAATGCAGAGAGATGGTTTCTCAAATATTTACACAGACACACACTTTAGAGCCCATGCAATTCTCCTTTACTCTCCTCTGAGTGAAGATGTTAATCAGCTTTGTTTTACATTAGTTACAACTGCAGTCTGAGGCTCTCAGACTTTTTTCTCCCTCTCTGCTTTGTTTTATTTTGCTTTGTTTTATTTTGCTTTGTTGTGGGTTTGATTCAATCCACAGTCTTATCTTAATGCCTCAGAGTTTCAGTATCTTTGTTACAGTTTTGCCCTTTCCTTATCTCCCCAGTGAATCATGGGAAGTTTCCCAAGCAGGAGGATTCGTATGCGTTTGAAGAGGACAGCAGCAGTGAGAGTTTGTCTCCGGAGCAGCCCCTCAGTGACGAGTCCCAGAGCTCAGCCGGACCCTTAGCAGAAACCAAGACAAGCGTCCCCTCCCCCTCGCTGACCAGCCCTGCACAGGTGACCAAGCACACTGCACTACTGCAATACAAATATCTGTCTTACTAGATCAGTTTGTTGCAGTGCTAGACAAATGTTGTGATTTTTGCAGAAGATCACAAGTAAATAGGGTCTTCACTGTTCATTTAAAAACAAAACCGTGTAGCCTTTTTAAGATTCTTACATACTTTACTGCAAAAAAGAAACAAGGAAGTTTTCAAAAGACATTTTAAAAAATCTCTAAAAACACTAAGTGGCATGTAAAGGTATCAAGCAAACCGCCAACTAATCACTGCCAATTTGTCATAAATTTTATTTTAATCGAATAATCATGGTGGGCACTATTCAACGCAACATAGCTGAACACACAAAGCTTTCCCCTTGGATTTGAGAAAAGTGGGTGGAATAGCTTTGGGAAGTCTGCCCCCTGTGGCCATAGCCTGAACTGCAGTACCCTGCTTAAGCTCCTGAGAGACCGTTACTAGTACATGGCAGGTCTTTGGCTTAGGGCCCAACTCTGTATGCCAGTGTGTTTTTTACAAAGTGCAAAGGATATGATGGCCTTTGTATTTTTTTCCAGTATGGCTTACAGCAATGTGTACTGCCTATTCTTAGACTCTAGGCATTAAAAAAAAAAATAACAGTCCCTACTGACATGAGGTCTAAAAGTTACTGAGCCCACGTGCAACAGAGTCACGCACAGGGCTGCACAGAGTTACAATTAACAATTGAACCAGTCCGTTTTACTTAATCTAGTGAAAAGCACCTCATACTTAATATATGATATGCTACTAACAATTTGACTGCAATAAAAATGATAGAATATATATATATGTATATAAAAGTCTTATGATAAAGCAGTGCTTTATGACCACTGTTATAGTCAATTTAAATTATCAAATTTTATCATTAAGGGTTCACAAACAAGAGAAAATACTACTCAAAACCAAGAAGAAAATGCCACTACTACAAATTGCCAGGCAGCTCCACCCATACCAGTGCCAGCAATCATCAAGGTAGGAGAAACAACAACTGCACCAATCTGCACCATTTATCCATTTATTTGTATGATCTTCAGCCCAGTATTAATTATGTGTGGGTGTGTGTATATGGAAATTTGTCTTGGCACATTTATATTATATATTTGTATATTAACCTAAATACACGCAATGTGCCAAGACAAATTCGCAGAGACATCTTACATACATGGCCAATAACACCAACTCTGACTCATTTAGGTAACCTTTTGATTACTAACTTTTCTTCTGAACACGAAACAGAACAAAACATCAGACAAGAACCGTCACAAGAAGCCCAAAGACATCAAGCCGAAGGTGAAAAAGCTTAAGTACCATCAGTACATCCCACCGGATCAGAAGGCAGAGAAGTCTCCTCCTCCCATGGACTCGGCCTACGCTCGGCTCCTGCAGCAGCAGCAGCTTTTCCTCCAGCTGCAGATCCTCAGCCAGCAAAAGCACCAGCAGCAGAACCACTCTCATCAGCCGCAGTGCGCACAGAGCCAGAGCTTCAGCTACCAGCCTCTGCACCAGCATCTCTCAAACAAGTGAGTCTCACCTACTTACTGCAGCCATCTACTACTGCAACCTTCACAGTGGAGTCTCCATCATGCTCCCCATTTTGATAGATGGTCCATATTCACACCATTTAGTGATCAATGTCTAAGACATATATGTATAGCTAGGGATGGGCAAATATTGTTATAAATTGGTATAAATTGTGGGAATTATGAAAGTTGGTCATTGTTCTTTATACACAAACTGGCCACTTCGTTAAGTATACCACCACTGCTGTGTCTGATCCACTCGTACCAGCACAACACACCCTAGCATGCCACCACCACATCAGTGTCACTGCAGTGTTAAGAATGATCCACCACCCAAATAATACCTGCTCTGTGGTGGCCCTGACCACTGAAGAACAGGGTAAAAGGGGGCTAACAAAGTATGCAGAGAAACGCATGGGCTACAGTCTGTAATTGTAGAACTACGAAGTTCACCTATATGGTATGTGGAGCTGATATAATGGACAATGAGAGTAGAAATAAGAAGGTGTTCTTAATGAAGTGGTCAGCCAGTGTATGTCTGTTGCATATCTTTATCATAAAAAAGACAGATTTGGACAGTTAATAGAGTCTATAAACAATGACCAGTGTATATTAACCACATGAACTGCAGAATAACAAGTAGATGATGTCAGCCAATTATGATATTATTGTTTGATTTTTTCCTCCTGTTCCTTCTTTGGTTTATTTTCGCAAATGTTTAAATAAAAAAATTGGTACATTTTGTCTGTTCTCACTTGTTTACAAGCCTCGTGTATCTTGTATCTTCAAGCAACGTAATGTTATTTTTTTGCCACGTTGTCCACTCTTATGTGTGAGTTGATTGTATAAATGTGTTTCAGGCAAACAAATGAACAGCACACACCATGCAGTTCCAGTGGTGCCACCAGCACACCCAGCAGCAGCTCCTCATCTCCCGTGAAGACCACTTACTGCAGCCCATCCAACGTCACTCCAGTCAGACCAGGGCCTTTGCCTGCTAACCTGGATGACCTCAAAGTATGCAGTACACTTGTTAGGAGACTACAGGGGTTTATATATCCCTTTGCAACTCAATAGTTATACTGGTATGGCACAATTGATCATATGCCAACCATAATTTTCCTATGCTTTGTTCTACCAGGTGTCTGAGCTCAGGCAGCAGCTGCGAATACGAGGTCTCCCAGTGTCTGGCACTAAGACAGCTCTCATAGAAAGGCTGAGACCCTATAAAGACCCGAGCTCAAGCTCTCCCTCCGGCTCTGGAGACATCACTACCGTTACGTTCCCGGTGACGCCCACTGGCTCTCTCTCCTCGTATCAGTCTCCCAGTTCCTCTAGTGCCATGTCCCATGGGGGTGGCTACTACCCTTTCTGTAGCACCAGCTCCACCCCACCCATCTCTCCTGCATCCTCGGAGCTGTCTGTCAGTGGGTCCCTGCCAGACAGCTTCAGTGACGTCACCATGTCCTCACCTCAGTTCGGCCTCCAGCCATCACCAGCTCAGCTGAGTGCCGATGAGGGCCAGAATCTGGCTGCTGGCCTGAGCGGGGGTTGCCTGCATGGGGACGCTCCAGCAGGCCTGGAAGCTGAGAAGGACAAGATGCTGGTGGAGAAGCAGAAGGTGATTGAGGAACTGACGTGGAAACTGCACCAGGAGCAGCGGCAGGTCGAAGAGCTGAGAATGCAGCTGCACAAGAGGAAGCATGGCCATGGACTGCAGGACCCGCAGGCTGGACCCCGGCCACCATCACAGCACTCGCTGCACCTCCAGCCCCCAGGCCATATACAGCAGCACTTCTTTGGAGGGGTGTCTGTCAAGCAGGAGCACGTGACCTCCAGCTGTCCGCTGTCTTCAAAACCGCTGAAGACCACGTCCCCCAACAGCTGCATGGAGGGCATGGGCCACTGTGGAATGAGCGGTGGGCTCCGGAGTTTGGACGTGCCCTCCTCTAGAAGCCCCTCTGGCCTGTCGGCCTACCTGAGCCCTCAGTGTTCGCCCCAAGACTCGCCAGTCACCAAAAGCTCCAGCAGCCCGCAGCCCAACAGCCTGCCATCTTCTCCCAGCCACCAGTACCTGCTCACCCCTCCTCTGGGCAGGGACAGCTGCTCGCACCCTCTGCCTCACAGTGGAGCCAGGCCACATCCCATGCAGGTAGGCAGTGCCATACAGAGAAATACAGGACTTCTATGCTGTATATCATTGCTGTATTTTTGTTTTTTATTTTGACATGCATTGTGTCAAAATTTCTTGGAATAATTCATTGTTGCATTAACCTTTATTACAAGATTGCTTCTCCTGTAAAGTTAGAATTTTGGAGATATATGGGTTTTTTTGGATATAAAGTAAGTCTGTATTTAGGGGATGCATAGGCCAGTTGACTAGTCAACTCATCCACTAGTGGGCACTGTGGCAGCTGTAGGCACTTGAAAACAAGTACACTGTCAACCGCAGCTTGTGAAAGACCACTATGCTTAATCATCCCAACATGAAGCATCTGCTACTAGCCACTTGTAGCCAGATGGAACACTTTCATTGCAGGCAGACCAATAAATACTAATAAATTACATTTCCTTAAGGTCTCTTTTTTTCTTTAAAAATCAGTTACTTTCTTAAAAGACTAGTTGAACAGTAAAAATGGTCATGCAACCCCCAAAATAAATTAACAAATAAAGTGATTCATTAGCAACATCACAGTTGGTTGCAAATTAGTGTATAATTTACAAGTACGTCATTTTTTGTGCTTCATATTAAGTAAAAAAAATATAACAATACAGCATGTGTGGTTGTGAGAAACAAAATCATAACAGGGTGGAGTGATGTGGTTCTGACACAACACTAACAAAAATGGCTCTCTCTCACAGCTCACACAGAAGAATGTTGCCCCATCCGTGAGCTGTTCCTACGCACCTGACCAAAGAAGCCTGCAGCCAGTGTACCCAAGCAATGCCGAGAATAACTTAAACCCCCGAGGGTCTTCCAAGGCCAAGAGCCCAAACATGCAGCAAAAGGTTTGTGAGGAGATGCGATTAGTCCAAATTATCCCACCTTCTTAACTTTATTCATGCACAAAATCTATCTGGGGAAAGCATCACACTCAAGCTGACCATTTTCCACATTCTCCTCTTTAAAACCTTCCATCTATGATAAAATAATAATTCTAATCTTCACCACTACTTTAGTATTTGATTACATACAAACAAATTACCCTCAATACATTGCAAAAGTCTCCATAATCATCTAGTCACATGTCTTCATCCGGCAAGTATTCACTGAACTGTATAAACATGAGGAGAAGTCACAAGTCTCTCAATGGGCATGATCACGGTCATGTGGTCATCTCACATGCCAAAACATATGGATGGATCTGAAGTATGATATCTTTCAGCTATGTGGACCATGGTTTAGGCCAAATAGGCAGAAAGGAATAGAACAGCTGATCCTTTTTTGCCCCTTCACATGGCCAAACACATACACAGTGCCTGCTACACATGAACGTGTCCTCTTGTGACCTCTGAGACCTTCTCAGCTTTTCTTTGGTCCCTCTTCCTCATCTGAGGTGTAACATTTCACCCTATCTCCTCATTTAGATGGTAACATTACACTCTCCCAGGCACGTTGGCCAAAAGTGTGCCACCTCCTCCACTGCCTTCTGTAGCTCTGACTCTGCATCTGCCATTAAACAGCCCCCATGCTATGAAGATGCAGTGAAGCAGGTAAAGATGTCCCCAGTAGCAGCTGAGCCCTGTGCTTTCCTCCACACCACCAGCTTCTGGCTTCTTTGCAGTCACACGTACCATTCCTACTCTCTGCCACCCTCATATGTTATGCACACTTCCCTGCTTTCACATTGCATGATGAGCCCTGTAAGACACGGCCAGCAATGGTAGTTAGAGAACTTCCTGGCTGTCAATTTTACACCCAAGTGAAATTACACCCAAAAAAGTACTTTTTTTCCATAATGATAAAAAGTGTTTTGAATTTTCATGATGTCCAGGAATGTGCACATCCTGGTTTTGAAATGAAATAGCCAATAGGTTCTGTTTTCAGCCCTGAGGGGTATTCTGACCAGCCAAACGGTATTTGTGACTTGGAAAAAAATAACACTTCTGAACTTTTTTTCTCTCAGTGGTAGAGAGCAGAAATGTGATTTTTGGGTGGAATTCCCCTTTAAAGTGGCATTGGCGGTACGGTGGGATAAGCTAAAGTGTATTGTGAAAAGGAACTTGCTCATCTTGCAGCAGTCACTACACAAAATCTGCCCACAGAAGACAAACAAGAGCATAACCTTTATTCCAACTGAGCCAGTGATATTTTTGGGTGATTCTATGATTGGGCTGCCATTTGGCCTCAGTAACTCTTTATTTTTTAGCATCTCAAGAGTAATATTTTTACAAGGTTTCCCTGCTGACTGGCTCAAATAAGTAACAGCGTTGAGTTTTTTTTAGCATAGAATCCATGCTAATAAGCATGAGGACATTCAGGACATTTAATGATTTTATTACTTTTTATTTACTGTTACTTATTATTTAATTATGATTCAAAGTGACTGTCATAAGCAAAAATAAGAAGAAAATTTGCTTTTTGTCTTCTTTAGGATGATAAATGGATTCGCACATTAATGCAAAAATATTAGGATTTTTGTAGTATGTTGATTATATTTCAGGGTAGAATGTAGTTATAGTGGGCTGGGACAAGCAGTGCTGTTTTCTAGGTACTGTAGGCTTTATTAATGTTTTACATTCTTTATCTGAAACATGCACACATGTTGTTGTGAAAGATACTTTACGTGTGTTTACAATGTGTTTCACCTTTGCATTACATATTTGTAAATGTCACATCAGTGGGACACAAATGACACCCCAATCGTGGAATCATCCTTTTGCAGATCTATAATAACCGTAACAAAAATTCACCACTTATGTCAAAAAAGTACAGAATTTGAGAGCCAATGCTGTATCATTAATTACTTACATGATTACTTTGCAGCAAATGGCAAGGAGCCAGCAGATGGACGAACTTCTTGACGTCCTTATTGAAAGTGGAGGTAAGCATACAAATCTACATATAAACAACAATAACAACAATTCTAATAATAGGATAATGTTTGATTTGGTTTCACCAACAGTGTTTGTGTATTGCATGCACCACAGTAATTTAACACCTAAACATTACTAGGAAGACCTATTATTCCATACTGCTCCTCTCGGGAATACTCCAGCCTTTCTCAACTTCATTTCTATCTGCAGCATCTGTAGAATATTATGGATTACCATGGACAATCATTTCTCTGTACTTAGAAAAGAATAGAAAACTTCTTAACTTATAGCAGATGCTTATATATGGGCAAATGCAAGAGCTAAATACAGGGAACTTTGTTTAAAGTATTGCCACTGGTAATCCACTGTGTGCTTATGCATATTGCTGTTGTCGGAAAAAAAACTTATCTCCACGTTTTTCAGTTTTTGACATATTTTGAAAATACCTGTTACCCTTTACATTGTGTGTAAATTTCATAATAAATGGACTAAAAGAAATGACCCAAAATTACTTGGAAAAAAGTCTGGTTCCATTGACTTACATTAAAAGTAAAGTGAGTTTTTTCCTGTAAAGTTATCATTTTGGAGATACAAGGTTTTCTTCAGACAACAGTGATATTCAGCAGATAGAGGTTAGGTTGAAAAACACTAGAGTATTTTGCTGCTGTCGGAACAAAAACTTGCATCTCCAAAACGGTAACTTTACAGGAGAAGGAAAAAGCATTCTTCACTTTTGATGTAAGTCAATGGAACCAAGTTTTCCCCCCAAGTCATTTGGTGCCTTTTCCTTTGGTCCACTTATCATGAAATTTACACAGAATGTAAAAGGGAACAGACATTTTCAAATTATGGAGATACGGATATGGAGATACGAGGTTTTGTTCTGACAGCAGTGATTTGTTTAATCCAGCCTACCATTTACTTCTGATCAATCGCTGTCTGTGCTGTGACGTCTTTAACCCCTCCCCTTTTTTCCAAAGAAATGCCAGCTAACGCCAAAGAGGAGAGGTCCCCTGTAACCAAAGTTGTGCCTCACCTTACAGTTTCGCCCAGCAGCAATGGTGCCACGCCCATCCCAAAGTTCCACAGACACTACAGCCACATGTCGCCCTCTCAGATGCCATACGATCACACTGCAGGTCACGGGGACTGCCACCTGGAGGTCCTGCTGAGCAGCCCCATGAGCCGACAGGGTGACATCATTCCACTGAAGATGGGCGTCGAGGAGGGCCAGCTGGAGGAGGTGAGCGAGGGCTTCCCAGGCCATCACCATGACGACAAGTTGTTAAGCAGCCGTGACATGATGGACACGCCTTTGTCCCCTATGGCCACCAAAGTTTCACCGGTGCCTGTTGATAGCCAAGGGCTCGGGATGACATTTACCGAGTCGCCGTGGGAGACCATGGAGTGGCTTGACTTGACCCCGCCGAGCTCAGCCACGGCGTTCAACAGCAGCATGCCCCCGGCTGGACCCAGCATTTTCAACACAGAATTCTTGGACGTGACGGACATCAACTTGAACTCTGCCATGGACTTGCACCTAGAGCACTGGTGAAGTTGACCAGAGACCTCCAAATACACAAGAATCCAGCTAGATAAAGATCACTATACCAAAGTAATGCCAAGCACTTCACATGCAGAAAAAACATGCAGATATCTCACAGAGCACACAATCAACAAGCGCACAAACAGCAGGATAACATAAGGTTTGAGCTGACCCAGTCAAATGTCAATAAGTGCATAGGACATAATCAAAGTTGCCTTAATGAAAAATATATTTTTCCTACAGTATCATGACTGTATAATGTTTAGTTGGTCCATCAAAACTTGAAAATCTTTTGGACTATGCATGCTGGGAAAGAAGGTTTTGCTATTACTGGAAACAGGAAAAAAACTACAAACCAAATCGATTAGATCTACACTAAATTCACTAGCGTTTGCAATCCATTTGTAAATATTACACCGTGCTGGTGTTCTACACGTTCATGGTGTGGGGAAACACTTCTGAAGTGTTCACTAAAATGAAACTTTCACCACATGTATTCTAATGTGCTATTGTAAATATACATTAATGCTCACACTGCACCTTGAGTAGTATAGTATTTTGTCACATTTTGCTTTGCATACTTTTTTTTAAAAAGCATGTAATTCTCTATGCATTTATTTGAATATTTTCTATTTCCATCCCCAATTATACATTCTAATTTATTTAGACAGTTGAGATTCCTTGTACTTCTTTTAGCAATTATTAACTACAATGTGAAAGCCTGTCTTAGATTAATGTCCATATACAAACCAACCAATAGCTTCCCATTTTACTATCACTCAAGCGGTAAGCCAGAAGAAGCCTTAAAGTCAGAACCAGGACGGTTTTATTCCTTTAATGAATGACCATATATGAAGCTTATAGGCATCTATTACACAGTTAACTTTTCTTTTTTTTTTATATTGAAACCATCAGAAGTTTACATTTGCTCATTGCTTTCCCCTATACATTGAATTTCATTGTGACTGTTTTTAATACGACTTTATGACTTCGGTAGTATTGACAAGTGACCCATTTGGTATCGTTGGAAGAGTTCACTTCTCAGATGTATTTATTTGGACATTTTCATAGATATATTTATACAGACGTTATTTATGAGACATTCCTTCTTAGGAACAGGATTCAGAAGATGCAAATCCTCATGCAAGAGACGAATAATATGAAAGTCATTACTGTCCATTTTTACCAAGCTTGATTTTTATACAGAAATGGAAAGCTAATCATTGTGTCCTCAGAACTACCTTTTGTATCTTACAAAACAAAATGCAGCACTATGAGCTAATAACACATTATGACTATCCAAACACATAGTGTAAAATATATTCTCCTAAAAAAAAAAAATACTATTTTGGAAGAACAATGTTTTCTTTGGACAGTGACACTATATTTTTATATTTTTTATTTTTTGTTTGTGATGTAACAAATTAGGCCTAAGTTTCAGTTCTTTTGTTAAAATGTCTTGATATATGCCTTTGTGAAGTATCCTAAAACAAGCATTTAACACATTCATTTCACATTTCAAGGTGAGCAATAAACTGCATAATTGACATGAAAATTTTAGGGATTTTCTGAATGAAGGTAGACATATATTAATAAAGCACACCTATTCTTACCAGCACTTGTGCAGAATGAAATGTAATATACTGTATGTTGTTTTACTGTGAAAATAGGCACCCATAGTGGGGCTGTTGATCAAACATTTCGCCAGGCATGGGACCTGTGGACATTTTTCTTTTTATAAATTCAACAATACATGCTCCACAAAGGCCTCTTTGTGCATTGTCAAATTGCATCGGTGTCTTTTTGCAACTCACCAGTTAATGAGAAATACCATTTATAAAAGACAATACACCGCCAGTCTAAACTGTGAACAGATCAGTTATGAAATTTAGTTTTATATGCTTTGAGACAATCGTATGGTTTATTTCATATTTTGCTCTGCAGTAAACCTAAGCCTATAATGACCGTGTTTGTGACCACATTTGTTTAGTTTCTACAGCTATGGGTTCAAGCAATTCAGACTGCATCTCTTATTTTGGGGAAAACAAAGAAGACATTCCACTTCACTCTCAGATTTCCTCTCTTTAGCCCTTATTTACCATTTCATTTACAGTAAGGTCAAGCGAAATATGAGAAGGATCCAGAGCAAGCTTTATAAATTTATGTATTTTAGGCACTACAGGTCAAGAACAAGACCTGAATTATTTTAGTGAGATTGAAAACAAAGCAGCAAATTTTTCTGCAAATAACAGGTTTACAGAAACACTGCAGACAAACTGTAACAATGTAATTAGATTTATTTCAGAGACTAAAGTGATACTTACAATTACACAATACTTTGAGAACTTATTTTTTTAGTAAGAGAATGTAACCAATGAAGGTACTGCACTGGGCTTATAAACATGTCCATTCAACTTGGTCTTGATGTTTTGTAATGAGTTTTTTTTTTTTCTTTTTTACCATTAAGAAAAGTTAATTATTTTTACTTCAAATTCTAAAGCGCTGTTTGTATATGTGACAATTACTGAGACTGGCAATTATGCCAACGGTCTGATCTCAAACAGGCCTGGCAGATCTTAGTTAGCCAGGTTTTATTATTTTTTTGTTGTTTTGTTTTTTAAACAGACCACTTGTGTAGTGCTAGAATGGATAATGGAAATTCTCACTACGCACAGTTGCCCAGTAAACTCCTCTTAGCCAACCAGGTAAAAGAATCAAAACCATAATGCACACCTGTTCAGTTCACAAGATCTCTCTATCTTGCTGAAGAAAATTGTGTATTTGTTTCTTTTGTCCTGAGGAAAAATATATAGATATGACAAAAAGCTTTTGTACTGCTTGGCCACTGAACAGCTTTACAATGTAAACCGTCTCATTATGTCTCCACCACTGTACTACTACTATTAAAAGACTTCAATAAACAAACACAAATTTCCAAAAATGATCTTTTGCTTAAGTGTATCATGTTTCTCAGCTGATAAATGTCATTTAATGTCACATTAAAATTGTTTTGAGTGTTGAATACAAATCCTTTCTTCTTATTTGTTCTCACACACACACACACACACACACACACACACACACAAAGACCACAATTTTGTGCACACCTATTTGAGCTTGTCAGACATCCCATTCCAAAACCACCGGCATTAACATGGTGTTGACTCCCTCTTTGAAGCTGTAACTGCCTTTCTCACTCTTCTGGGTGGCTTTCCACAAGAGTTTGGTGTGTGTCTATGAGAATTAGAGCTCATTCAGTCAGAAGACCATTTGTGAAGTCAGCCACTGATGCTGGATGAGAAGGTCCAACTTGCAACTGATGTTCCACATCATTTCAAAGGTGTTCAGTGGGGTTAGGGTCAGGGCTCTGTACAGGCCTCTGGAGTTCTTCCACACCAAACTTGTCAAACCATGCGTAAGTGCAGAGTCATGCTGGAACAGGAAAGAGTTTTCCCCGAACTGTTGCCACAAAGCTGGAAGCATAAAATTGTCTAAAATGTCTTTGTATATTGTAGCATTAACATTAGCCTTCACTGGAACTGAGGGGCCTAAACCCTTAAAAACAGCCCCAGACCATTATCCCCATCCACCAAACACTCCACTGTTCAGAGGCGGTGTGCTTTACACCACTCCAGCCAATGCTTGGCCTCACACAAAGTGATCTTAGGTATGATCTTGGGTGCAGCTGCTTGGCCACAGAAACCCATTTCATTCAAGTTCCTGATGCACAGCTCCTGTGCTGATGTTGCTTCCAGAGGCAGTTTGGAGCTCTGTAGTGAGTGACGCAAAACAGGATGGGCGATTTTTACACAGCACGCACTGGAACAGCTGACCAGTGCAGATGTAGCTGTCCAGATATTTCACAAACTAACTTGTGGCAAAGGTGGCATCCTAGTATGGTGCCATGATTAAACTCACTTACATCTTCTGCACGCCCAACCCTACTGCCATTTATATATATATACACACACACACATATATATATGTATATGTGTGTATATATATATATATATATATATATATACACACATATATATATGTATATATATATATATATATATATATATATATATATATATATATATATATATATATATATGTGTGTGTGTGTATATATTTCCTATTTATATAAACCTACTGTCAAACAAATGACCAACACGCCCTTAGAGGCTAATTAATTGGATTTATTCTAGCATTTAGCCCATTTGTGTTTCCAGATCTTACAGAAAAATTAGGACAATAAGGTCACAGTCACATTCTAACCTTATCACAACTGACCCGCAGGCAGATACTTAGATCTTATCATTACTATGTGAACACTAAGATTCCATGGATATTATTTAAATATGTGAAGTGAATAAGACAAATAGCTCAGACCCACCAGAGGTTAATATCTCCTCCAAAAACAAACATAAGGCAATATCCCTGCAGATCTTCCCATTACAATTTTTACAGATTTTTGCGTTCACAACATACACTTAAAATATTTTCACAGTGTGAACTTTTTTTTAACATATTACCCACTCTTCATAGTGATACAATGTAATAATACATATCACCCATATTTTCCCTTCTAATATTAAATATTCTACTAATTTGTAACATACACTATTTACCTTTTGAAAGATTGCTTTTAATATTGGGAAGATTTCTTTATTATGGTACCCCCACACAAAGCATTAATAGTTAACCATTTTTAGCTCAATGTTAAGTCTTATTCCAGCTATATAATGTCTTTACACTTGTATAGTCAGGTACAAAACATGAAACCTTTTCAAGTGTATTTAATCGATCATATATGGCGGCATATTATCGTTTGTCATATCAAATCAGTTACTAAAAGGCTGCTTTGGCAAAGTTTTGTACGTTTCTTTTTAAAACAAGTAACCCAAACAACGACATATGGTCAGTGACCACATTCCATTCACAAGCCAAAACGTCAAGCCTTGTCTGTTCATAACATGCCAATTTCAGGAAAAGAGGCAGACTCTATGAAGCAGCAATACAGAGCAACTTCTGGAAAAAGATGAGGATTTTTGCAGAGAAATCTGTGTATTAGAGGTTGATAAAGTTTTATACACATTTACAATCGTGTAGGTGTCCTGCAGGCTCTATCTAAGTGTTCACTACACCAGAAAGATTTTTCTTAAAATGTAGTGAATACAATTTGGTGAGTTAAAATTGCATATTCATAAAATAAAGCTACTTTAAAAGGATAACTTGATATTTTTTAATCTAGACTTAATGTTTCACTTCATCGGAAATCTACTGAGTCTAATGGACCAGTTCCAAAAGGCATCTATCATTTTATGTCTCTTGTCCACATTCACAGTTATGCACACTCAGCATCCTGGACTTTATATTATAGAAATCACAAGGCTGAAATATTGGAATTTATAAATTATGAAGCACTCCAATCACCCTAAACAGTCGACAGATGTCCAAATACGTGGAGCAAAAGGTCTAGAAGAAATTATCTAACCACCCTTTTAACAGATTCTTTGATGCTGAACAATACTTCTGCATACTCATTCATCTTGCAAAGTGAGATCACAACTAAAATGTGCTTTATCTGTACAAATATTGACCTAAATGACATATCCTACTATAGAAATTTTATATGTTGCAGAAAATGGTTGATATTTTCATTCCATTTGAGAATCAACGTGACATTTTCGTTTTGGTAAGTTTTGTAAGGTTTATATTACTTTCAAGTAGATATATACATTAGTTCATTTTTTCCCCTCATGAACACAAAGATAAACTTTGCTTTGATTAATCGTGTCTTGAATGAAAGAGTTCAAGTTTTGTGTCCTAATTCCTAAAATAAGCTCAGCTAAAGTTTACATATGGCATTAAAATAAATATGATACATCAGATAAAACAACCATTATGTTCTAATGTGAACGGAGTTGGCTTGTTTTCGTAGACCAATATACTAACGGTTTTAAGATGAAAGCCCATCCTTATTGCACAAAATGTTTTGGGATTTTGAGTGTCATATTAAAAGCAGTGTGTAACCATGAAACAGAACAATGCTGTGCACCAAACGGTTGTCATATTACATTGCATTCTGATAACATACACGCCATCAGTCAACGTACATGGGAGAGCTGGGGGAAGCAGGGATTTCATCCAGAATTTTACACACATAACTGGCAACATCCACCACTCGCTCCTCATACATCAGAATGAACGGGTGCTTCTGCAGGACAGAAAAAACAAAGGTTTAAATTAAACTATATGTTCAAAAATCATGGACTAATAACAACCAAGCCTAACTAGCAAGCATACATGTTTTTGATTTAAATTACTTTATAATCAATATTAATGCTGGGCAGAAGATACTTACCAGAAGCTCCTTGTACTTTGGCCTTTTTGACTCATCCTTTGTAAGGCTGAGAAAACAACAGGGTTCCAAAATAAAAGACTGTGCTTCTTTCCAAAATACTTTCTTTTTATACAGTGAGGGGAAACAAGTATTCACTTTTTTGTTATTGTTGTATATACTTCCAGTGCATGTATTACTTGAATTTACACATGCAATGTTTTTGGCTTTGTACTTATAAATATGAACAAAGAAAAAGTATGTATTCATAAGTATAAACAAAGAAAGGATTTTTAAAAAATATGGGGGGAAAAGTAGACACCATAAATTATTAATTTTAATACTTTACTGCAATGCTATTGGCAATTACAGCTTTGAAAGGTTTATAGTAAGTAGTATTTAACCTTTTGCAGCATTGTGGTTTAATTTTGGCCCATCCCTCTTGCCAAACTATCTTCAATTAACCAAAGTTATGAGGGTCCTTCTATTGGACTTGCAATTTCAAAATCTTCCCTAAATTTTCATTTGGATTCAAGTCTGGAGAAGGCCATGCAAGCACCTTGCGTCTTGGATTAATTTTAGCAAATCGCGTGTGGCGCATCTGATGATTAGCTGCGGTTCCATGAACTTTCCAAACGCACATCATCGAACCAACTGTACTGACAGAGATGTTTAAGGTCTTGGCTAGGGCTCTGTAGCTTTTCCCCCCCCCATTCAAGTGCTGTTTAATGATGTCCCTGAGAACTTCAACTCTTTTACCTTCATCATGATTGCTAATTGTTGTGTAAACTCTTCCCAACCAAAGTCAATGTCTTTTATGACACTAGGTTCAATTTGCATAAGAAAGTTTTATTTTGCAGCATTTATATGTAAAACAATTTATTTTTAACATTTCAGTATATGGTTTAACATGGTGTCTAAATACTTTATCCTCTTTCAATTTCATTTTGAAAACAATGTGTACACTTATGCTTATTTGTTCATATTGATAGGTAAAAAGTAATGTGCATAATATTAAAGTGGATATATCCACCTAAAGTACATTAAATGACAAGAACAAAGATTCTTCCAGATACTTGTTTCTCCACACTGTAGCACAAAATAAAAAGACTTCGAACTCACCATAGATTGACAAAGTTGATGAATTTGGGAGAAAACTGTCTTTCCTCTGAATTGCTAAGTTGAGGAGGATCTCCCTTTACCACTTGTGTCAGCTGATCAAACACACTGTTCCATTTCGGGTATGGGAATCGTCCTGTAGCCAGCTCATACTAAAGGGACAGAGCATAAGTTGGCACATTATACATTTATTGATTTGTAGAAATCTAGGATTAAGATGAAAAAATGCAGAAGGTGCGTCTGTGTGGAGGTTTATTAGTGACATACCAGCGTGATTCCCAAACTCCATACATCTGAACGCACATCATAGCCTTGCCTGGAAGCACTGGGATCTATTCTTTCAGGCTATTGAAAATAAATAAATAACAATATTGATGAACACATAATAATAATAATGCATAAACAACAACAACAACAACAACAACAACATTAGATTATATAGTTTGTTCAAGTGGAAGAAAGTAGACACATTATGTTGGGGACATAAATATTCATTGCTATAGTAAAAAAATTAACATCAACATGAACTATGGTGTCACAGAGTACATTAGTATAATGGAGTGGCAGACATTTCCAGTCCTTGCTCAAAGCATTCTACAATCACTCTGCTCCATATGATTCATTCTTATAATATTTTATGCCTTCACCGTATGGACAAGACACTATGCAATTCATTTCAAGCATTAATGGCTGTTCTTAAATTGTTTTTTTGTGTATATAGACTTGAAAGGCCTGCCCCAAAAAAGCATGTGCTTTTAGACAAGACAATGACACATCAAGTTAAAAAGAAATACCAAAAAGAGACATAGAATTTTATTTAAATGCTAAGTTAAAGAGATACATGATCAAATGTATCTTAAACGTGTGAACTGAGCTTGACTGTCTAATAGAAGGTTTAATTAAGTTCCACAGTTAATAAGCATAATAACTGAAAGAGGCCTCTCCACGTCTTCTCAATTTAAAGAAGGGATTTTTTTGCTGCGATCTGTGAGAATTTCCAGAATAGTTCTGCTAAACAGTTCCACAGTGCAAACATGGTGTATGAATGGCCGTCATGCACGAGCTGTAGCAGTTACACTGCTGCAACACGCATGTCAGGTATAGGTAGTCAGCGTGGAAATCGCACTGGCTTGTAGGATGGAGCACTGTTTCGGAGTGACGGAAAACACCAACACTCTGACTTTCTGAAAAGCTGCTCCACAAAATCACGCCACAACACACTCATACTCTGGTCGCAATCACAAAACCTGTTTTATATGGATCAAGTGTATGGCTCAACTCACAGCCATGTAAGGTCTGCATCCAGCATCTCTAGTCTTGGCTATGGAGTCAACCAGCTGTCCGCTGATGCCAAAGTCACAGAGCTTTATGTTGCCATTTCTATCCAGGAGAATGTTGGAGGGTTTGATGTCTAGAATCAAAAGAAAAACAAGATATTAAAGTAACAATGAGAAAGCACTAGAGATGCAAATTTTGGCTAACTCTTTTGACAGACAACCACTTGTCATTAGCTGGCAAATAATAATAATAATAACAAAAATAAAAACAACCAGCAAGTCTAAAATCAAGGATGCGACTTATTAAAATATCAATCATAACATGGATGGTTCCAGTTCCGAACTGGCTGAGCCATGTTCAAAGCCATTGTAAAATTCCTGTTAGACACACACTAATGAGTGCACAAAATCAACTGAATTCTGTATTAACGCACTGAGATACTAAAAAGTGTTCTTTGTACAGACCATGGAATGTAGTACTGATAGGTAGGGTCAGGCATAAATGTGTATATAAAGTAAATAGCCCAAAACCATATTAAATATAGCGGATGTAAAAGCCTTGTTTTGTTTAAAATGAGGGACTGAACTATATGTTCATGATTATATGACCAAAAATAAAAAAGATGCCAAACTGACTGGAATATTTAAAGATGGGTTACTGAAAATTCTATATAAATTCTTTAGTTCTATTTAGTTCATATATTGCACTCTCTCCCTCAGGCCCTGTTCACACTTGGTATCAACATCCATCCCGTATAAATCAAAGGACTTTTACAAGAACTTATAAACAGACGGTAGAGGAGACGAGAAACGATGCTACAGCAGCTGATTTCACCTCTGCTGTGAGATGAAGCAGCCGATTAAGGAAGCAGCTTGACGCTGTCAAAGACACATCCAGACACTTTAATGTTTACACTATAAATGTTTACACTATAAATGTTGTGGTCATAAACGTCCCTGATCACCACTGAAGGTGGTTTGAATGATCAAATCAGAATGTGTCTCCAAGACGCACTGCACCCCACTCACAACTTAGGACATAGTGCTGCCCACTTATGATCACCCAGGACACACATTAATGCTAAGTGTGAACAGGGTCTCAGAGAACATGCACAAAACAGTTTGTGTCTTCTTGCTTGCAGATGTTTGCTTTCAATACGGTACATCCTCTGAGTTATGCCATCATTTTATCAAAACGTGGCTAGAAACACCATTTTCAGCTGCCGCTTCATGTTTTTCTGTAGATTCATCTAGTAAAACCAACTGCCTACCATGCCCTCATGTGTACAACTCAAAAACATTCCTGAGTTGAATGAGAAATCCACCTATTCAAATAGGAACTGCTGTTAATTGGAAAGGAAATAACTATTTTAATGGCAAACACTGTTTAACTGTTTGTTTGTTAGTTTATGGTTAATCATTTACATTCCTAATAAAAACATTAAATTACATTATATAATTATATGTTAAAAAGCAATTCAGCTCAACATTTACTAAGCAAAACTATGTTCTAAATGCAGTGTAATTACAAATCCTGACCACTAGAGGTCATACAGCACTAGTGTAAAACAATACAATACAGAAAACTATAAAACTAGTCACCTCCCTCCACTTAACAGTCATCCAACCTTTACTTTTTTATATTTACCTCTGTGGATTATTTTCAAGTTTTCTTTCAAGTGATTCAGTGCTTTCACAGTCTGCAAACAGGTTGAGACAAAATAAAAAAATAATAACAATAATTAAGGCAAAAACAACAATTAACATTTCTTATCGCAGTATCATTAATCATTCACAAAAGGAAATTAGGCACTTACCGCTAACGTAATTTTGCCTAATATTTCCTCTGGAATGACATCATCTAATGAGCAATATACATATTTGTAGAATTTGTCAAACGAGGTAGACATGAGTTCCATACATATCCAACAGTCACCCTGTAAAAAAGATATACCTAAAGTTTGAATATTATTCTCAATGAACATCATTAGAGCACTTGTCTTACAGCAAATGAAATCACTCCACTGTACTGTTAATATTCTGAAGCACATGAAATGGCTATAGAAAATGCACACAGCTGTTCTAAGCTGGGGGTCCATACTACACAACTTTCATAAATCTTTGTCCAACTGCTCTTATCATTTTCAAGCATTTGCAATAAGCATTAAAGAGCTTGACCATAACATTGAATAATAATAATAATAATAATAATAATAATAATAATAATGCTAATAATGCATTCGAACATTTGGTATACACTGTTCAGCATTTAAAAAACAAACAAATTTAGAAAAAACAGAACATAATATATACAAACAGAGGAAAGGAAAAACCATCATAAAGTGACTTAATAAGACACCATAACAGCTTCACTGTGCTGTGCCATTAAGGTTCTATGTATCTCTAGAACTGTAATGGAAGGATGGAAGTCCATTCTTCCAAAACAAATTCCCTCAAATGGTGTTTTGATAATTGTGGTGGAGAGTCTCCCATGGGTGTTCAACTGGGTTGAAATCAGGTGACTGTGAAGGCTATTGTACATTGTTTAAATGGGGGCAGTGCCATCCTGGAAGGCACCACTCACACACATCAGAATACAATATTTTATCACAGAACAAAGGTGATCAGTCAGCATTGCTTTGTACTGATCATTCTCTCTAAGGGGACAATGGACCCAAACTATGCCATCGGTCATTAACTTTGGTCATTAAATGTGCACTTGCAACCTTAATTCCTAACCCTGTTCACTGTTGTCTTTCCCATAAATCTAAAGGCAGATGTTGCTTCAGTCACTGAAACCTAGAAAAACATAAGCCAGTTAAGCAGTCTTTGTGAGTGAAGCTCCTGCCATCCGTGCCATAATTTTGAACGTTCTTTTAAAGTCACTTAGATCTTCTCATCTTTCCATTTTGATCTAATATTACGGTCAACTGGACCTGCTCAGCATTTTCTATACATCACAGAGCAGCGTATGACGTTAATTTCTTAACTGTATCAGGCATTTATCATGTTTCTCCACTCATTTATTCAGTTTTTTAGCCATCTACATTCGTTATCTAAAGATAGAGATGTAAGAGACCTTAAAGCGTCTAAGGTAAAAATAAAAATAAGCTCACCTCTCTGAACAGTGCCCCATAAAACTGGACGATATAGGGACAGTCACTACTCCTCATTACTACATCTAAGTCCATGAGCAACTGCTTCTGTTCTTTCTCATCAACAGTGGACCGAATCCTCTGCAACATAAACACACTTGTTATTTACACACAGACACACACAGAAATTCTATGATTTTTGCTTTCCATAATCTAGCATTACAACCAGAAAAAAAAAGGTTATTCCCAGGGTAGAAAAAACAAAAACTGTTTGTGTGGTAAAGCACCCCTTAATTGTTGCATATTTCCAGTCTTTGTTTCAAATTACCTAGATGTATTTTTCCATTCACACTGTTCAGATTACAAACAAGATAACATCTTCACAAAATGTATATTGTGCATCACCTTGACAGCCATAATCTGACCACTAGGCTTATGAACCATTTTGTTGACAGAGCCATAGGCTCCTCTGCCAATTTCCCCAAGGTCCTTCAGGTCTTCAGCAGTGAAATCCCAGTGCTGCTCAGGAGAAATCTTCAGTTTCCCAGACGACTCGATACTGTGGGTGCGCAGTCTCTCTCTGGAAGTGAGCACAGATGACTTAGTAAAATGTAAGTGTGCATTCACAGCCTTAATAACTTCCACCACACCAGAAACTGAAAACATCCAGTTGTGACTGCACATATGACTGCACAACCTTAAAAACAATCTAAAAGTGTTCATGTTTGCCCACTTACATGTGAGGGTTCTGGAACGAAGGAGTGCCTGAAGCGATGGGGAGTCTCGCATTTGGTTTAATTGGAGGATTAGCAAAGTTTAATTTCAGTGCTTTGCGTTTACCTGAGAAAGAGAAAAAGTGTTTATACCACCTAAGAAAAAGCAAAGTAAGAGAAGACACACACATTTGTTCATTCCTAAGCAGCTGAAACAAAAGGCAGTGATCTAGATGAGAAAAAATTACTGTCCTCAGATGAAGGAGTTTGAAGAGCCATGAAATGTAGCAAATATGGTGGAATACTACATCTCGATGGATTGTATATTGTGTATTTTACTGCTTTCGAATGTGACTTGAATTCTCATGATATAAAGCATAAGGCACCTTCCCCTCAGTCAATCATATCAATATTTACACAGTTTTCATCTTAGCTGAAACTTCTGGCATTTTTCCACTGAGCAGTTCAATACAGCACCGTATAGTGCCAATTTCAAACGATCCGTTCTCTGGTCGTGTACCTGCGTCTGCTGTTTCCCATCACACAAGGGAACCATGATAGTACTCCGAGTTCTCTTTAGCTTATGTGGTTATATGATTTCTCATGCATATCTAGCTTTAACATTAAACACAAACAGTTGCTTGGAGGAGCCTCAAGGTTTGATTTACCTTTTTGTCTGCCTTTGGTTTAATGTGTCTTGGTCAGCGCTTTTGGCTGGGTATTTTTTATATTTGTTCTTTTTCTTTTTACGTGTAGTCTAGGGCTGTCACAATTACTTAAGATAATTATTTAAGATAATTATTTAAGATGATTATTTAAGATGATTATTTAAGATGATTGCAATTATTCAAGCTGACTGCAATCATTATCCACAGTCATTAGATTTCACAATAATATTAAGCTGCAATAAGCAAAATATGAATCGAGTTCGATGGGTTGAAGCAAATAAATGTACATTTAAAAAAAAGAAAAGAAAACAGTGAATGCATTCATTCAGACACACTACAGGACTCGTATGAACAAAAAAGTTCCATGTTTAGAGGGCAGGCCAAGTAATGTGTGTGTACCTAGCAGCTGACTGTATTTGTAGCTAATTCTCATGTTTTTAGCATGTACGCTAGCAGTATAAGCATTTTTTGCACATATTTTCACTCTCAAGAAAAACATTAGCTTTGCTCAACTACACATGATGTGAGAGTGTGTGTGCTCAGCAAGCAGTGGATTAGTTCGACAGTACTATCAGTGTAAGCTACTAAGATAAACATGGCTAGGAAGCAAAACTGCTAATAATTCAATGTGGCCACTTTAACAGTTGCATACAATGAACAAGGAAACACAATTAAATCATTAATCGCAATTATGTATTTGACAATTAATCGTCACCTAAAATTTCATGACTGTGACAGCCCTAAGGTGGTCATCTGACTCCAGTGACACGATGTGATGATTCTGAGATAACTGTTTGAAGAATCAGTGGTTTACACCTTTACAAGCTCCACCCATATGCACCAGCTTAGCACGCTTGGTACGCCAACAAGAAAGGCAACAAAACCCTAGTATGGGTAGTCAGGTACTGTACAAGTCACTTGGCAGCGGAAATGACAACAAAACTCATGATCATGTATTTGTAAATAGCCTGCACAGTGGAAAAAAGGCATGAGCTGATCAGCCAAGACAAGTTGGGCATCTGATGCTCTTTAGTCTTGCACTGGAGCTACAAGGGTGTTACACAGGGGTGTCCAATCTTATCTGCAAAGGGCCAATGTAGCTGCAGGTTCTCATTTCATGCAAGCAGGTCACCCGATTCTACTTGTTTAGTCAACCGGTCAGTCTTCAAACAACTGATCGTGAGAGATCCTGCTTTCTGGGGAAAAAACCTGTAGCCACACCGGCACTTTAAGGGTAAGACAGGACACCCCTGGTGCAACAGAATGTAACAGAAGTAACAGATGCGATGTAAGAGAAGACCATGACTGCGCTCACTTTCAACTTGTACTGACTTTGGCAGACTTGATGTTCAAGGTGAACTGCCGATGACTGCAGGGGTGGGTATAAACACTGCCATCAAGTCGGACACATTCCACTTCCCCTACTGAGCTCACAACAATGGCCAATCACACGCTGTTTGCCTTTTTTGTTGCAGACAAAATCAAAGTGCTCAGAAGTTTATATAAGACTTTTGACACATCAAATTAAATCTAAGGAATGTATTATGAAAATATCTAGCATGACGGGTTGAGGTGTATGGGGGAAAAGGTCACACACGGAATACCTGCTAGGGCCACACTTTTAGAGAGGTGTTTTTATTTCTTTCTGTTTTATTGTGAACCATATACTTGAGAATAAAGTAAAAATTACAAAGGCAACCATATTGCCACGAAGGTGAGAAGAAGCCTAAAAATTATAACATAGTAGGGTATTATTTCTTTTAAAATAAACTCCTGAACTAAACTGTTTTTTACAGCGTTTTTGCTAGAAACAAAAACTACAGTTTATGGCGGCCATATCTAAAAAATGAGTTGCCAGAAGGAGGAGATCAAATAAATGGCATCCCCTTTGGGAGAGATAACCACAGGAGATAACGGATCTGAAGTTCTTAGAATAAAAACGTAACATACGTGACACATATCACGTTTGCCATCGCCTCACAAAGGCGTTTTGTAGCTCATGCAGTGGATGGTGAGTGACTGCAGCGACCTTCAAAAATTGCAACTGCCTTTAATGACATGCGACATGGTGACTCTCACTAGCGTCAGCTTCACATTCGGATAAAATTCTGGACTGTTAAGTCCAGCATGCACCACGTTAAGTTAGCACTGAGCAAGGCCACATTAAATCAACCGCAACCTGTGTCATCGGAAAAAAACAACTTGGTAACAGACTTTCATTACTTTTTAGATAAATTAGCCTCATAGCTCCAGCGCAAAATTAAAGAAGCAACTTAACACACAAAACCAGTTTGGCTGATTATGTTTCAGTAAGATCAAAATTGTGTACATTTAATCCATTCTTTTAAGATCAAAACTACATCAAACTAGCCAGTGACTCAAAAAATAACTACACAAGCATACACAACAGCTGATACAATCCCATGACACAGATCTGATGAAACCCAGGCAGAGTGATTTCCAGTAGAGTGTTTACTCAGAACATGTTGCTGTCATTCTACGTCTCTGATACTGACTTAAATTTCAGATCACATTTAGTGCCATGAATGTGAATGCACTTTATCGAATGTGAAGTCATTTTTGTTCTTTTATAGACAAGTGTCCTTCTTCTTTCATTTGGAATTCTGTAATAATGGAATAACAGTAATCAAAAATCACCCTATCAACCACACACATACACAAAAATAAATAAAAAAAACTTACTTTGGGGCACACCAGACAGATTTATCTGAAACCCTACAGAAGTAAAAGACAAATGGAGAAAAAAAATAAAGAATGAAGACAAAACAGAACTGAGCTGAAAGCAAATGTAATGTAAGTTTAAAGGATGTGCTGTGTATGTTATTTGGCAGAATATGGTGAAATTATAAATGATCAACATTATATAACATGCACATATATAATGCAGATGTATGAGCTTCCATTTTAATACATTTTCATCAGATGAACTATTTAGAGAATCCTGTACACATTTGCCTTAGTTTAAGCCATTAAAACTGATGAATATTACATATAGTAGAGGCATAATATTTAATACAATACACATGCAAACAAAACACACCAAAACTGCTACACATGCTAAACATGCTATAATTTTCTAAACAGTTCACCTGAAGTGGATGAAAAGACACTTCAATGAAAACTGACAGCCTTTCACCCCTACATGGAGTAGCCAAACAAAAAAATTAAGAATACCTGTTTCGTTCTGACACCTCCAGCATGAGTTGGACTCTGTCGATTTAAAGTATTTTACAAAGTTACAAAGCAAGAATTAAGTTGGAAGTGGAAATACACTGCATATGTTTGTTCTCATTGTATAAATAAGACTGGTCACACATGGCTCATATCATTTCATTCTACTTGCAGGAATCGCTATCGTTTTGCATGAAAAAGCTACACCGTGCTACAATAAATTTCCTATCAAGGGTGTCGCTCTTTAAGCAAACGAATGCAAGTAATCCATAATGACTGGTATGTTTGTAGTCTCTAACGTCCCTGGTTGTGTATGGAAGTGGTCTCACATATAAAAAACGTATAATAAGAGAAATAACACAACTTCACCTCACTGTTCATCTAATGACCACGTGAGAGTTCATCATCGATTATAGCCCTGTCCCAAATGGCACACTTACAGTCCTGCAATCCTCATCTGCACCCATGAGTACTGTGAGGTCACAGGGTGTCCCAATTCTCATTTTGGTATTCAAAGGGGCACTCCAGGCATTCTCTGTGTGCCCATACTGCAGCTTTTGGCTAGGACCACATCAATATGGACTCAGCAGCAGCCTCATACCCATGATTTTTTGAGATAGAGAAGAGGACCAATCAGAGTATCAGTATTTATTTATAGGTGTCTGATCAACATGGTGAAGAAGAAAATATTCAAATGGGTGTTAAAATGTACGTTTTAGTGCAGACAAATGATTAAAATAATCATAAAGAAAGTTTTTTTTCCTCCCTTTAAAAAGCAGTGAATTTAGTTATAGCTATATGAGTGGACGAAATAAGCTTCATCAAAATGCATTTATTAATATCAATAACTGAACAACATTATTTTCTTTTTGTGAGCACAAAGTTCACATGAAATAAACACGAAACTCCCCAATTTTTTCATGATGTTCTAGAACTCACTCTGATACGCAGCGTGAGGTCTTCTTTTGAATGGAACTGTAGATTTCCACTTTACTATAACTTTCTTAGCTTCCCACAAGTCTGCTGAATTACTGATACTGCTGCATCGGTGATGCACTGCTGCATCAGCAGTATGTTTTGTTTGGGAATGACACTTCAGGCTCAACGTGATTAACAAACTCACAACACGATAGTAGCTGGAAATAACTGTGGCTTTTTCAAGACAGCCTTAATGGAATTTGCCATTTAAGCTGCATTTGAAGAGAGGAATCAATTAATGGTGGGACTACAAATGGTTTGAAGTTAAACTAGGAAAACACGTTAAAAAAATAGTGGCACTGAAACATTACCTTAACATGTTAACTTTGACATTAAATTGTTTACTGATTTAACTCAGTCAAGCTACATTACTTTTAATCTGTACTGTGCCACTGTAGATGAGGAAATTAACCCTTATTAAAGAAATGTGACCAATAACAATTCTTTTTTACTAGTTACAACCCTTGCAAAGGCTGCATGTCACACATGTCTGAAATGCATGCTTTTAAACCTAGAGTTCCCCCAGCCTCTCGCCCCCAACATCCACACGCTGATGATGTGATGTCACCTATGCATGGTCTTGGAGGAGGGCTGCAAGGCTTACGCCGCCATTTCGGACAGGGCCTATGAACACTTGTAACAACACAGGTGAGACAAGCAATGAATCATGACTGTTTAACAGGTCCTGGAGGACCAGAGCTCAGCAAATCTTAGTCTTCACCCTCCTCCAATGCAACTCTACTACATGAACTATGTGAATGAGCTGGATCAGGGAAAAATCCTCCAGTGTGCACTCTACAGTGTTAAGGCCTTCCAGGACTGTAATCTGCACTCTTTCAGCATGATAACTTCTCTAACACCTGAATTTAAAGGGATACATTTCATTTCAACCAAAAGATCCAAAAAGAGATTTGCTTAAGCACACTTACTGTTCTAGATAACACATTCCTTCTCTATCCATTAAATATATATACTAATTCTACTACAAATCTACCATATCTACTACTTGCCAGAGCTATGCAATGACATATACTATAAATACAACCTGCTTTTAGGCATAAGAGGAGCTTGACAGTTGAGCTATCAACTATGTCACAGACAAAGCTAATGCCCTTTCCGAATTTGACTACCCTACACATTACACCGTTTTAATGTTGTTATAACGTCTGTATATTCAGTGTAGTCACTGCAAGAATACAGTCAATTTTAGACTCCAGGCATGAATCTATGTTATCACGCTAATCTCGACATAAACCGAATGGTGGTCTATGAAAGTTGGTGCTACTGCTGCTAACGTTAGTTGCAGCCACAACAACACACTCAGGCCAGGCCTAACACGGAGCAAAACCACTAATGTAGAATAAAACACAATGTACAGTAGTTGTTGAGAACTCTATCGGTAGATTCGTCGTTTCCATTTGAGTCAAAGCTAACAAACGTTTCCAAAAACAGTAGCAGCACTGTATCTCAACGCTATCTAGGCCCGAGAAGCGTTAGCCGTGCATCTCTGCTGCCAGTAGTGACAGTGCTAACCTTGCTAGTTAACCGTGCTAGTGCTAGTTATCCTAGCTACACTGGACGAGCAAAGAAACATAAAAAGGTCAATTTAATCTGTTCGAGCGCAGCTCCTTACCCTGTATGCCGCTCATAGTCGTTATGTGTTGACTCTGCATTTGGTGATGTGGGAGCAGAGGTCCTGCCGCGTTTATGCCGCTGCAAGAAGTTGGAGAATTGGTGCTGGGAGTAGGAGAAGCCATGGCGGAGGCTCAGTCTGGGCGGTGCGGGAGGAGAGGAGCTGTAGCGCCGCGAGTATACCAACCAGCGCTCGCCCTGCGCTACGCGAACACGGGCGAGTCCACGGCCGCCGGAGTCGCACGATCAGCACATCGCCCGCTGAAGGGAAGGAGGCGCAGGAGCGTTAAAACGACGGCTCCATTTGAACTGCTCGCTCGGCGGTCCCGACTGATTGCTGGAAGAGTGTGGGGCAGAGAGCGATGGCACGGGATTTCCAAGACGGAAAACAGTGTTTCAAAATAAGAGCCTGCGGTGAAGGCCTGGCCGCAGTCTATAAAAACAAAGTAGCTGTGAGAGAAAAGCTCCTTACGGAGGAACGTTGTTTATAGTCTTCAAACTATTATGAATACTTGTATAATACTTACTAACACTGAAAATTACTGCTAGATAGATAGATAGATACAATTTTATTGTCATTGCACGGGTACAGTGCCGAAGTACTTTTTAGAAAAGTATGTACAAAAAAATTATATATATATATATATATATATATATATATATATATATATATATATATATATATATAAAATTAGTATTTTTTATAAATAAGCCGTAATTCTAGTTATATATATTATTATATTAAGGCTTATTTATAAAAAATACTAATTAATTACCGATCACTTTAACTGAACATTAGCTGCTTTTATTTCTAGTAAAGCATTTTTTACTTCACTATTGTTATTTTGGTAACTTAGTGTAAAAATGTGTTGGCCTTTGTGAAATGAGATGAAACTTATGCTCAAATTCCGAAGAATATTTTCTGAGAGTCAGTAAAGCACAGCACTGCTGCAAAAATGCTACAACTTTTTTGCTTTAAAATGCATTAAAGAAAAATGTTCTAGTACTATTTTTGCTTTATGTTTTGTTTTGGAAGAACAGGCATTGTAGTAGTTTATTAAACCTAAAGCTGCTGTTTATGTTATGAGTACATGCTAGTTAGATAACATAGTCAATGTGAGGTAAACTAATAGGCAGCAAAAATGTATGCCTTACAAATAGATGCATCTTTAATGAACTAGCAGAATATACTGCGGTCAGTTGCAGGTCTCAGACCTTTCTGCTTCATAAAATGTCAAGTTTGATCTGTTTTGTTTGGGTGTGTTATTTTCAATGATATAGTCAACTAATAATAATAATAATAATAATAATAATAATAATTTTATTTATATAGCAGTTTTCATGCGGTTTCAGCTCAAAGTGCTTCACAGACAGGTGAAAAAACATAGTTATAGAAAAGATCATTAGTACTTAATTAGAATCAGAAGAAAATGCAGAAGATTAAATTAAATTAGATTAAATAAAGACAAACACCACGAGACATTCAGTTTTTTAGTTAAATGCTAATTTAAAGAGATACGTTTTTAGGTGCTTCTTAAAAGTGAGCACTGAGCTTGACTGTCTAATAAAAGGTGGAATTGAGTTCCACAGTTTAGAAGCATAATAACTGAAAGAGGCCTCTCCATGTTTTCTGTATTTTACAGAGGGTATCTGTAGATGGCCACTATCTGCAGATCTTAGATTGCGTGCCGGAACATAAACAGACAGACACTCTGTGATGTAAGCAGGTGCTAGGTTATTTTGAGCTTTAAAAACTAGTAGCAGAACCTTGAAATCTATCCTGAATGATGCAGGCAGCCAGTGCAGTTCTTTCAAAATGGAAGTGATATGATCTCTCTTTTTTGTTAGGATGCGCGCTGCTGCATTTTGTTGTAAGGGATTGGTAGTTTTCTTAGGAAGTCCAGCAAGAAGAGCATTACAGTAGTCAAGTCTGCTTTTTCTAAGACTTTACTTAGAAAAGGTAGGTTTGAAATCGGTCTAAAATTATTTAGTATGGAAGGATCCATGCTACTCTTTTTTAGCAGAGGCTTCACCAGGGCAGTTTTGAAAGCATCTGGAAAAACATCTGTTGACAGAGAACAATTTACAATAGTTAAAACATCATTGTGAACACAATCAAAAACCATCTTAAGGAATGAAGTAGGAACAGGGTCAAGATCACATGTGGATGAACTTAGTTTGTTTAAAATAGTTGTGAGCTCCTCATAGTTGATAACAGAGAAAGATGTCATTACTGATGTAGGTGACCTATTAGGAACATTATAGGAGCTTGTTTGTGTCTGCTGAGCTACACCCTGTCGTATCAGGTCTATTTTATTATAATATTTATTTATATATAACTAAGGGATATTTGATTGCACACAAACAAAATAACCCAATAAATGACTTATTTAGTCTAAATTTTGTCATTTTCTATGTCAGTATTTTTATACAATATGTCTTTTCATAAGGAATTTTTATATCCATGTGTTTCACTTTATAATTCTGTTTCAGATCATTATTTACTCGTAATCAAGGGCAGTAACACCTCATTCATTTTCAACATATAGGAATAACCAGTTGGTTATTTAACAAAAAAAATCCCAAAGAATGTGGAAGTAGGACACAAAGACAGGCACATTTTTCTGAGTCATCGCTTCATAAGAATTTCAATTGTCCCTCAAGACTTTAAAGGATAACTACTGTTCAGAAGATACTTTGCTCCAGCAGAAAAGAATGATGTACTCAGTTCTAACAATGGGAGGTGAGCAGACTGGTCTACTGAATACTGTGGCATTTTAGTCTCATTTATAGGATGATGTGCAAACTGGTCCACACTGACAGATATAAAGATGTGCATTAGCCTTTTGAGACTGATCAAAAAAAACATGAGGGACACCATTTGTCGAGTGTGGTGTGGTGTCCCCTGCCTCCTCTGAATAGACCTGTTTCTGTAAATAATAATAGAGGATATAGTCATTTATACTTTAGATGTTGCACACTGTGTAGAGTATTCCAATGTGTTCAGAAGTACACATTTAAAAAAGATTGTTCTGCTGTTATGATGTCAAGCTTGCAACAATAGCAGAACCCTTTTTGGTGCTATACAGATCCAGTTTCCAAAAGGTTCTATACAGAACCATATACAACACATTCTCCATCGATCGGAAGAATCTATTTCACCATGCAAAGAACCGTTTAAGCATGAAATGCTTCTGTATAGAACTCATGGCTCTAAATAGAGCTACTGGTTTTACTCAGTAGTGTCTCCTTATTACATCTGTTCTGTTTCAGGCCAAATCCTATACAAGTGTATTTACAAAAAAAGAAGACAAAGTGAAATGTGTTTTCAAGTAAATATGGACTTGATGCTGGTTTTTGTTTTTACATCCTTAGGGCTACAGAGGAAGAGGTCTTCTTTCTTTTATCTTTTTTTTTTTGTGGGGGGGAGGGTAGTAGCGTGTGTAGAGATAAAGCTTGACTTAATAGACAGGCAGAGACTCGTACACAGAGATGATATGACAAAGTTTAAAAAAGAGCATTCAATAAAGATATCCTTTGTTGACTATTTGGTGTGGGCAGAAACTAACCCAGCCTTACCCCATTCAAACAGGGGAACATGACTGAGAAAAATATCTCACAACAGTTAACTCTTCCAGGAAGAGTCTTCACTTTAAAGGGGAGTTTCCACTGTTTTTTCTCTGGTGTAGAGAAACTTACCAGGCCAGAATGTTTCACAGTGCTAGTGATAAGAACCAGACATCTGAAGCATTTATATAGGGATTCTGCTGGGTTTCCCAAATCATTGGGATGTAAACAAAATCATTCAGAGTGGTTTGATGTGAAATTGTTTATTGTAGAGAAAAATATACCAACCCAGATTTCTTTACAGTGGTGGTGATAGGAACCAGGGCTCACAATCTCCACCCTGTAAAAAATGGTATCTTGGCAAGTGAATTTATCTTAATTCTAGTCAATATATCTAATATTTCTCATCTTGAGGTTGTTGTACGTATTATATGATTGCTTAACTTACTGCTTGAGATTTTACAGCACAAAATATTTGAACTAGTGTGAAAAAATCCCTCGACCAGATTCTGCATGCCATAAACTCATGGTGAAATGTAAGTAAGCAAGCTGTATCTAGAGCTCAGAACTGGACATGAGTACACTGGACATCTAAGCAGTCCTGAACGAAGCTGAATGTTGATATGGTGTCAGACTTACAGCTCCAGTTTGCAATTTTTTAAGCGTGTCTTTGTGTGTAAACATTGAAATCTACATTATTATTATAATCTCACCCATTTATTTCACACAGCTGGTCAGATCTAAACAGAAGCATCAGAGATTTAACAACTACAAATAAACTACTTAAAATTTTGTGAAACTTATCATTAAATGTGTATGTTCAAATCAGGAAGCCTGCCACAAATATTAACTGGCTGAAATTATTTGGGCTGATCGCACTAATTTAAACCTACACTATGTAAGGTTTGGAAATGTAATTGCATCAAATGTGGACACACTATAACGTTGATTATGCTTCAAACCCCTTTGAGTGGATGATTGTGAATGTGACTGAAAGAGTATTCAAAGAGAACAAGTTAAAACTCGGTGAAGGACGTGTCTTCCGAGGATGTGAGTGAATTACTACTATCATATCATTATCAGTATAATGTTGATTTTGCATTTTAGACCTAGACGTTGGGACCTTCTTTTTGAGCCTGTGAGCCTGACGTTAATGCACAAAGATGCATGGCATGGCAAATATTTTCCAGCTTTTCACTTACAACCTCCTATGTTTATGTCACCACAAACCAGTTTCCGATTTCCCCGACCAGCTGGCCTCCGAGTCTAGAGACCTGCCTGTAGTCCCTATGTCTCCTGTTCCTGCTCCCAGGGCCTCTCCTGTTCCTGCTCCAGTGCCGCCCACTCTTGCTCCTGCTCCCAGGGTCACTCCTGTTCCTGTGCCGGCCCCTCAGCGCCCTGCTCCAGCGCCCTGCTCCCGCTTCAACTTCACGTTATGTTCCATGGTCTCCTCCACGTCTTGTTCCAGTCCCAGCTCAGCCACCTTTTCAGTTCCCAACTCAGCTTATCACCCAGCAACCATGGCAGTTCCCTGCCAGACCACACTTCCAGTTCTCTG